TCCTTCTACTTTCTGTCTCTGAATTTGGCTAGCCTGGGCACCTCAGATACATGCACTCATAGGGTATTCTGTGACTGGCTCGTTTCTCTTGGCATAACCTTTTATTACTACTGTGGATTTGGGTTTTGAGGGCATCAAGGCCAGCCCTAGGTCAAACAGGGGAGTAAAGAGGGGATTCCCCCCAGCTGCCCCACTTTCCTGCTCCATCCCTCCCTCAGCTCCAGCCCACCTCAGGTCTCTGCTTTGTGGCTTAATACCCTCATCCCATCTCCCACTCATCCGGGGAGAACATCTGCTTGGTCTAGCGCGGGGCATGTCCTTGATGATCCCACCAAGACTGTGTATAGTAGAGACCCAGAGGGGCCCTGTCACCAGAGGAGGGGTGGGCGTAGACACTGGGCGGGCCCAGCCAGCACATGTCCACTCCAGGGGAGGTCCTCCGACTAGGCTCCAAACGCTTTTCATGCCATGCTGTTTAGTGCTTGAGTGCCTTGTTTGCAAAATTTTTGACATACTCAGCTCTCTTTGCAGTTTCCAGCAGCCAGAGAGGCAGGCAGGCATGAGGCCCGCGTGCGTTCTGAGTGCGATGGGGGCCCACCTGGGCTGCTCTCACACATCAGCCGCCTTAAACACAGACGTCAACTTGGACAGCCCGGGGCCAGTCCTGGCTTGGCAATCAAATGGCCATGTGGCTTTGCGCATGTGATTTCACTTGTCAAGTCCCCTATTTTCTCATCTGTAAAACTGCAAAATAAGGACAGGAGTGCAGCTCAGGGTGGAGTACTTGCCTACTTGCCTAGCCTGTGAAGGCCCTGGCTTCTGTCTCTAGCAAAAAAAAAAAAAAAAAAAAAGGAAAAGTAATAACTACCTACCTCGTTGAAAATCCTGCTGTGCTAAGTGCTTGACCTAAATCATCTACCTTGGGGCTGGGGATTTAGCTCAGGGGCAAAGCGCCTGCCTGGCAAGCGCAAGGTCGTGAGTTCGGTTCCCGGTACCGGAGAAAAAACCAAAAAAAAAAATCATCTACCTTATGCTTCTAGCCAATCTAGTGCATATGGGAAAATAATACTCCCTGTCTGTGCAGCTAGAGCCCCATGGCGAAGCACCCCGCCACCTTGACTCGTGCTGTGAGCGATGTACCCTGGTGGACAGCCTGAACAATGGTATCCAGCAGCCCTGCCCATGAGGCAGGTATTTGTATGTCTCCATTTTGCTGTGAGGCAACTTCTAGAGAAGCTCAGCGCTGTGTCATGGTCGTGGGTGGTGAGATCACGTGTAACAAGCTTGTTTGCTTAAAGCACACTAAAGAGATCAACTGAGTCCTTGTGGCCCTCCCACCACCTGGGTTGTGGACTGTATCTCTTGTCACCAACTCACCAGTCTCAGCCTTCTCTATCTTCCACAGAGGATAGCAACCAAATACCTCCCTGACGTCTAATGTATAGATTACCACCAATCTGTAGTTGCTAATCTAGTATTTTGATAATCATTTTAAAAAGCCAGACATGTTATTCTGAAAAGGGGTAGGGCAGAAAAAGGACAGATTCCCATTCAGGTATTATCTTGATTTGGAAATTTCTTTTTTTGGTGGTCTATTCAATACCTAAACAGCAAAGACTAAAAATATTGTGGGTCTCAGTGAATTCTTCTAAAGTGGAAAGATTGGTGTTACTGATAGCTCAATATTAGGCAAAGCAGATTCCAACTTCTGGGTTTTTTCCTTTCTTTTCTTGGGTGCCCAGGAGTATTCCATCGCTTGGTAATGCTCAGGGCACAGATTAACTAAAAGTCCCCGCCCTTCATTTGTAAACCCGTCCATTATTTCTCTGATGAGCAGGAAGCAACCCCCACCTGCTGTGTCCCTGTGGTTTGGATATCTGTTATATAATTTCTCACAGTGAGGAGAAAAGAATTGTGTACTGGGTATATATATTGTTTGGGTGTTTCATTTGTGAATCTGTTATATGTAGACTGTACTTTTTTTTTTTTTTTGAGACAAGGTTCTTGCTGTGTAGTCCAGGCTGGCCTTGAACTCATTATGTAGCCTACACTGGTCTCACACTCACAGTGATCCTCCTAACTAACCCTTCCTAATTTCTGGGGTTTTAGGCACGCTTTACCACTCCTAGCTGGATTGTACTTTCAGAGACAAATCACTGGAGTGTGGTATGATGGTACAAATCTGTAATCCCAGTTACTAGAGAGGCTGAAGCAGGAAGGTTGCAAGTTTGAGGCCACCCGGGGCAACTTAGCAAGATCCTGTCTCAAAATAAAATAAAAAGGATTGGGGCTGTAGCTCAGCAGCTAGCTGAAGCTGGCTAGGGGTAGCCTGTGTGGGACCCGGGTACACTGAGGTAGTTTTCAGGAGTTTATTTATTCATAAACTACGGAATGTAGTAATTGAGGAAGCCTGCCAGTTATTCCCTGACTTACCTCTCTGCAAGAGTCTGTTTTAAATAGTCCACTCTGAAAGTGCAGTTCAGATTGAAAGCCGCAGCAGAGCCAGCCACCTTGGATGGTGTGAACATCCCCAGGCAGCATGAAGAAAATTAGCATGCACTGAAAGGGAATTACTAAGGCTTGGAACCACTGTTTTCCCAGCAAACCTCCCACCTGCATGGCACCCAGGAGACACCAAAATGAAAGCCAATAACAAGGAATGGACTTGGAATGGACTTTCCAAAGGCGGAATGCAGTTAGCGTGAACTACAATCTGCTCAAGCAGATTAGATATTTTAACAGCAGTCCTCAGGCCTCAGAAGTGAGCCTAGCCTGGCTGAGGGCAGATAACCAACAGTGTCATGTTTTAGACTCGACTGTTAAATTTGGGCCCGTGTGAGTCTGTGTTTGATTAGACCTATGAAAGTGGAGGAGGCTTCCCGGTGGGAAGTCCTGGGTCCTGGCTCAGTGACTTACAGGCTGTGTGACCTTGGACAAGCTATTCACCCCACCAAGTCGGTTTTCTCATCTGTACAACGAGGCAAACAGCCCTGCTCTCCTGCCTGCTAAGAAGTTGTGAAGATCAGATGTGGTGCCGTTTGAGAACTGTGGAGGCGCCATGCGAGCTCACGGGCAGAACCCTCAATCCAGTCTACCTCTTTCACTTCATTCTCCACTTACATATTGTAGATTTCACCTACCCCTCATTCTTGCAGCAAGATCCTTTTGACAGTGTAATTTTTAGAACTGGAATTGGAATATGCATAGTTGCCCTATTTATCCTCCAAGTCTTGTGAAATGAGGAAAAACTGGAATTATGAGGAAAATTAAGACCAAAGAGGCAGTAGCCCAACAGTACAGCGAATTCTCATCCTGATAGTCTTTTTTTTCTTTGATGACACCAAAATCTAAATTCAAAGTCAGGGCTGGGGATTTAGCTCAGTGGCACAGGGCCAGCCTGGCAAGCTTGACGTCGTGAGTTCGGTTCCCGGTTCCGGGAAAAAAATAAATAAATAAATAAAATAAATTCAAAGCCAAAGGTTCTGGTCAAAAGTTAGGTCCCACTCTCCCCAACTTCTCCGTCCCCTCTACATCTCCTCCCTCAAGGTGAGATGCTGACTTCAGTGGTTGGTGTCCCAGGCCACACTGGGTGCAGCTTGGACCGCTCCCTGCTGGACATGCAATATGTGTGTTGGATATTTATAAGAGGGAAAAATGAAAAAGCCTAAATTGTTCTCTTCTCATCCTAAATTTCTGCGATCACAGAATGAGAAACAACATGTTCTCACCATATTTCAATCCGAGATGCCACTGTTTCTAAGACATACCCTGTTTTATACACCACAAAGAAAGAAAAAGCTCTATCAGTTAAAATATGACACAGTGTTTCCTTGTTATGTCAATTACAGACTTTATAGATGTTAAATGTGAAAAAATGTGCATCTTGGTATACATGAGATGCAGTATTTTTACCTCTTACAAAAGGCAAAGCTTTCTTTTCTTGATCTTGGTGGAATAAATTAGCAAACTTCAAACTGTCTTACATTTAGTCTCAGCTCCTTGCAGTTCTACATGTTACACAATCATGCTTCTGTGTGGGCAGGATGGGGGCATTGATTCTATTTTTCTCCTGGATACACTTATACAAAGTATGGGCGTGACTACAGTTTCAGGTAAGTACAGTTTGTAAAACTCCTGTCAGAGCAAAAATCATCAATTCTGTGTTCATTACAAGATTTAAGAATAAGAAATGTTTAAGAGCATTTGGCACATCAGTTGTTTTCTTTCTCCCAAGCAGTGCCTTTTGTTGTTTATTTAATGATTGATTTGGCTGTTTTGTTGTTGTTATTCAGTTTATTTTAGTTCAGTTTAAGCAATCGTACAGTGTATTCCTCCTTGCGCAGAGGAATGAAGGATGAACAGGCTCTCGTGACCGGTGTATGTCACCTGCCTGGGCTAAATGTGACATTTTCATAATGCTAGTGGGGATTTGTCATCTTTCTGGGTAGAAAGGAGCAAGAGGAATACAGAAAACTAGAAAAAAATACAGCTTCTGTATGTCTGACAATCCTTTGTAAATTTATTGTGGACCAGCTCTTCCATTTAGAATGCCCTTCCCTTCAGAATGTCCTTATTCATAACTTCTATAGTTCATTTTCTCCCGGTACCAGGAATCGAACTCACGACCTTGTGCTTGCCAGGCAGGCACTTTGCCACTGAGCTAAATCCCCAGCCCACTTTTATAGTTTAAGACAAGAAAAGCTCCCTGTTTCTAGCCTGTTCTTACCTTATTCCTCAGGGTATTATTTATATGCAACAGCAGAGAGTCAAGCAAAAAGAAATGTATTTTAGGGGATTAGATCTGGCTGGGTGAACGGAAACGAACCAAAGTACTGTAGTTCTGACTTCGTAAAGATGTGGGCGGGATGGTGCCTGTTTCCTTCCAGGAGTCATTGGTGGTTACTCTTGTGATGGGCGTCAGTAGCCCATTGCTGGGCAGGGTGTCGTTCGTGTTTGATTACTGCTAACGCACCTTTCTTCCTCGGTTCTTTCCCCTGCAGTCGGAGTACCACTACGAGTACACTGCGTGTGACAGCACGGGCTCCAGGTGGAGGGTCGCTGTGCCACACACACCGGGTCTATGCACCAGCCTCCCCGATCCCGTCAAGGGCACCGAGTGCTGTAAGCAGCCTTCCAGCTCCAGGGCCTCCCCGCCGCTCAGCTTTGGCCTCCACCCCAGACCTCCTGCCATCCAAGTTAGGCTCCTCCTGACAGCACAGCTGCCTTAAGGAATCAGCTCCTTAGTCCCCATCCCCAACTCTTGTGAAATAAGGTGCAGGAATGTTATTGCACTGGTGTAAACTTGGTATCTACATTTGCTTTTTTTTGAATTTCAATACCATCAGAGGATAGAGCATAAGCAATTCCAGCTCTGTGCCACTCAGGTTCGTTGTTCATTTGTTTGCATTTGTTTTCTCTTTTGTGTGTGTGTTTCCCTCCAATCTACACTCACCAGCCACAACAAGTCATTAGGGAACATTGCATTTTAGTTTTGTTCTTGGAAAGGAAGCAGAGAAGATGCATTTCTACAGAGACAGAACTTTAAAATGCCCTGAGGATCACTTCAGGAGATAAGGCTTCCTGACTATGGGGCTGACCCTGCAGTCAGGAAGACAGTGACCTATTACAGCCTCTGTGACGGTAGCTGCAACTCGCCTACACTTGGCGGCTATTTTCTTTGCACTGTTCTTGTAGGAAAGCAAAGGAAAGAATAAAAATGCGAGGCTAGAGTTCAGGAATTGTTCAAAGAGTTGGAAAGGAGATGGAGGACATTTAAATTCTAGAATCAGCTGAGGCCAGTGTCAATAGGTGAGCAAATAAATACTTGTATAAATACTTGTTAAATGTATGAATGGATATTGCTGAACTTTAAGGAGAACTGAGGTATGACTAATAAAAGAGTCATCTTTGGCTAACTTGGCTGACATTAGTGAGTCCCTACTATGTATAAGCTCCTACTGTGTGCAGGCATCATGATGTGCCAGTGCCACGTGGGCCACAAAGATGAATAAGGCACAGACCCTGGCTGTGAGAGCATACAGCATGAAGAAAGGAGCAGACAGTCACTCGCCTATCTGGGGTTTCCCCAAAGCTTTGCGGTGCCCCTGAAGTGTCTGCACCAGCCACCTCTCGGGGAACCCAGAGTCCAGTGGGTAGCAGGTGTATATGATGTGAGAACGGGCATTACAGGTATGCAATGGAGAAGACCAGCTGAGAGAATCACTTGAGCAAAAGCATAGGGGTGGAATTACAGGGACACATTCCAGGAAGAGCTTGGGTCCATGGTGGAGGTAACAGAGCAGATGACACATAGGGATGAGGTGGAGAAAGATCTGTAGTGGAAGATCAGGCTGAAAAGTTAGACTAGGGGAAAAAAAAAAAACCATAGAAAACTTTCAATGCCAGGTCAAGAGTTTAAATCTATACCCAAAAGAGAGTCCCTGATTTTTTTTTTTTTTTTTTTGCCTTTTTGAGACAGGGTTTCAAAAGGTTACCTTCACCCTGGACACAAGCTCTTCCTGGAATGTGACCCTGTATTTCCTTCCTTCCATCACCACCCTTCCCTGTATTTCCTACACAGTATTAGTCCAGGCTGGACTTGAACTCACTTTGTAGCCCAGAGTGGCCTCTAACTCTCAGTGAGCCTCCTATCTCAGCCTCCCAAGTACTAGGGTTACCACCACTCCTCCCCCAAAATCATTTTTAAATGAAGAAAATAATAATACAAAGCTGTTTTAGAAAGATGCCTCTGACTACAGAAGGAGCAAGAAATAAGAATTTGAAAACTAGTTATGGGGCTGGGGATTTAGCTCAGCGGCACAGCGCCTGCCTTGCAAGCGCAAGGTCATGAGTTCGATTCCCGGTACCGGAAAAAAAAAAAACCAAAAAAAAAGAAGAAAACTAGTTAGGAGGGTGTGGCAATGGTTGAATTAGTTGCATGGTGGCAGTAGAACAAGAAAGGAAGAGACAGAGTCAGGGATTCGAGCGGGAAATTCAGGCTGAAGGGCCAGGCTTCCCTGGGAGCCACGTCCTCCTCTCTGGAGTGCTTGTTGAATGGCCTCAGCATCTCTCCAAAGGAAACAAGATCATTCGGGATGAGCTCAGTGTTCCACAGCAAGGCAGAGCCTGCGTGGCCCTAAATCTTTTTTAAAATAACAGCTTTATTTGAGAGACAGTTTACATGTGGTAAGTGTCACCCCCGGCAGGGTAAATTTCAGTGGTTTTTTGAGAATATTCACAACAACTATCACCACTCAAGTTTCATGACATTTTAATTGGCCTGAAAAGAAACCTGTTAGCATTAGCAAAATGTCTCCCCAGGCCCCTACTGCAGCCTCTGACCATCACCCATCTACCTTCTGTCTGTATGGCAGCATGTTCTATGTGAATTGTACCACACGGACACTCAGTGGCCCTAAATCCGAAGGGGCCAAACTGAGCTGAGCTTCTCCCTTTATTTTTTTTATTTTTTATATTTTTATTTTTTGTCTTTTTGAGACAGGGTCTCGCTGTGCAATTCAGGCCAGCTGTGAGCTCACTTTGTAGCCCAGGCTGGTCTCGAACTCGCAACGATCCTCCTGCCTCCACCTCCCAAGTGCTGGGATTACAGGCATGTGCCACAATACCAGGCTCGGCTTCTCCCTTTAGCATACCCTCACCTGGCCACTTCTTCAGGGGCCACAGTGACCTCACCAGCCCTCTCTTGTCCCTACCCTGCTTTCCAGCTTTCTCTTGCAACGCTGGGGAGTTTCTGGATATGAAGGACCAGTCCTGTAAGCCGTGTGCCGAGGGCCGCTACTCCCTGGGCACAGGCATCCGCTTTGATGAGTGGGATGAGCTGCCCCACGGCTTTGCCAGCCTCTCCGCCAACATGGAGATTGAGGACAATACCATGGAGTCCACTGAGAACTGCACTTCGTGAGTTTACCCGGGCACCCCCTGTCCCTGGGCATCTGGGATGGCACTTTCCGGTGCTCCTCAGGCCGGGGCTGGGGTTGTGGGTGGAAGCAAAGTGGTGGGGCAGCAGGGGGCGTCGAGCAGGGCCTCCGGGGACTGCGGGGTGTGGCTGCCACCTCAGCCCACTCTTACCTAAGCTTATCAGTGGCTGGCAGGCATAGGTGAGTGAAAAGCCTGGAGAAATAGAGGGGGCTCTATAAGGAGGACTAGGGTTCAAACAACCCATTCTATTTAAAACAAAATCCAGTTGGATATCCGCCATGGAATTTGGACCAGCCAATAGACTTCCTCAACTTGATTGAAGCACAATATGCAAAGTATTGGGTGTCTTCTTGGCTTTGATGCTAGCTTCTAAAACTTGTTCCCTCCGCGTACCCTGATTTGTGGGTTTTGATGGGGGGATTTGGGTAAGACTTGAGGACTGGTCCACGTTGGCTGAGATCGTCCAACTCCTTTGAGATCCCAATGGCCAGAAAATTTTCCAGATGGAGATCTTTGCCGGTAATGGAAAAGCACAGGGTGGTTGGACAGCTGGACATTTATTTCAGATTTGCCTTTTATGTCCCCAGCACTATGCTGAAAACTGTATATATATCGCTTTCTACAATCCGGACAAGAATCCTGTGCAATAGATATTATGGTTCCCACTACCAAGAAGAGAAACTAGAGGCCCAGGGAGGTTAAACCACCTGCCTTTATTACCTTGTTTATCACTAGCGAGACTGGAATTCAAACCCAGGCCCAAGTTTTCAATTTCCCATCTGGCCACCTTCAAATAACATTATGTGCAAGGCAATATGGGAAACTGTGCAAATAACGTTATGTACATTGCTTCATGTCAAATATTGACCATGAGTATAGGAGGAAAGGAAAAGAAAGCAAATAGATTTCTTTTCAAAGCTGAAGTTGGGTGTAGTGGTGCACGCCTGTAATCCCAGCGCTCAGGAGTTTGAGGCAGGAGGATCACCATGAGTCTAAGGCCAGCTTGGGTTACTTAGTTAGATCAAGGCCAGCTTGAGCTACATAGTAAAATCCTGTCTCAAAACAAACAAACGAACAAACAAACAAGACCGAAGAATTTTATTGCACTTGGACTTCCAAAACTAGGAGCAATTTTTCCATTCCTATACTTAAATCTCCTAGAAGTACCGGTGTCTGAGCCATGTAGCAGACATTCAACGATACAACTATAATGTCATTTTACAATTAAATTTATGTGTTATAATTATTCTCATGTTAAAGCTAGAGAGGGTGCAAGCCAAAGGAGAAGAAATGTGTGAGTGAAGACAGCCCCCATTTGAGTCCTAATAATGGATGCCGCTTGACCGCGGACAAGGTGCAGACCTGGCTCACTCAGTCAATTCTTACCTGTGCAAAGGGAGGGTTTCACCTCTCTCCAGGGCCTGTGGTGAGAGCCCAGAGACCATTATTTCTCAGTGAGGCAGGATGTGGGTCTATTAATAACAGCCTGCATCTCCACAGCACAGGTTGGCTCCTAGCTTGTATCTTGAAGCATCCAACAACATCCTGGGAGGGTGGGAGAGATGTTTCTCCTCTGTAGAAGTGGAGAGGAAATGCCCACCTGGACAGATTCTGAAAGGCAGTAGTTGATCTGGTACCAAGAGCCCAAATGTCTGACTTTCCTGTTCAACCTGCATCCATCCCCACTGCCTCCAGCCTGACCCAGCCAGGATCACTTCCTGCCTGCTTTGCCTCAAAACCTCCCAGCTGGTTTCCTACTTGCACTCCCTGCCTCCTCCAGCCCACACCCACCCAAAAGCCAGACTGATCTTCGGAAAACAACTAACCATAGTGCTTTTCTGCTCAAGACCCTGGGTTCTGTGGACCCACAGCTCTTAGGATAAAATGCAGCACCTTCCCACAGCCTGCAGGCCTGCCTTCTGCCCTGTGCCTTGTGCCCTCTGCCTTCCGCCTTCCTTCTTGCCTGCCCTGGGGCAGCCACACTAGCTGCCTGGCTCCCTCTCTCCCCAGAGTATTTGAACAGCTTCCATCCATTCCTTTCCTCCTCCTTAGTCCTCAGGTCGCTGTTGGATATTAGCAGGGAAGAAAGAGTAGAAGATTAAATACTGTGCCTGTGAAACGAGAATGTGTGAAAGAAGATGGGTCCAGATATTAAAAAGATGTAAATGTTTAAAATTAAAAATAGTGCAGATCACTACTGAATGACCTGCAGCAAGTTCCCCAGTCATCTCTGTTCTCAGTTTCCTCATCCTAAATAACGAGAAAAAGGGTGCTCTTAAGGATCAATATGATAATGTAAAGCATTTAGAACAATGATTTAGAAATCAACCCAAACATGCTATATGGAATGCGAAGTGTCTTTGCCAGAGTCAGCTCTGACAAAAATCAGAACTGTGATGCATTTTGCAAATGTAACCCACTTATGGCACCCTTTTAATTATTCATTAAACTTCAGGGGTTATTTATAACTGATGCTGTGGAATACATCAGCATTAAATGTGTCTTTCAACAAGGAGAATCAATGCCATTAGGTTAGCTGGAGCGTTTTGGATGAGCTCAGTTTATATTTCAGTTTTGAGAATGATACTGAGGTCTCTGCCCTCACCGCATCTAGGGCAGCCAGGAGGCCAGGCAGCTGAGGAGAAATTCAAATAAAGTTTGGTCAGAAGAGGGAACCCAGATGGTACACAGTTTCACAAAAGATGCTGAACTTCACTAGTGATCCAGGAGATAAGATTTAAAGCCCAATTAGATGCTCATTTCCTACCACTTCATATTGGCAACGATTTTAAAGTTGGACAGCTCCAAATCTGGAGAGGATGTAGAGGAACAAAGACCTGCTGGCGACTGTACGTTGATGTAATCTATGCGGGGAACAAGTACAGTTGGAGATTCACATACTCCCGGGCCAGCAGCTCGACTTCCAAGCATTTCCCCAGCAGGGACAAGGATACAGAAACTAGAACGCTCATAGCAGAGTGGGCGCACTAGCAAAAAATGGAAACAATCTACATGTTCATCAGTGATAAATAAATAAATATGGTAGAGCCATAAAAGGCGTATTATGCAGTAGTAGAAATGAAAGAAGGGGCAGGGCATGTTGCTCAATGGTGGGGTACATACTTAGCATGTATAAAGCCCTGAGTTTGATCTCCAGCCCCACCAAACCACCACTACCACCAGAAAAAAACCAAAACAGAGAGAAGAGCTATATAGTATGAAGATGGATAAATCCTACAACCATTATGTTGAAGTCTTTCCCTCAAAAATAGTAAGTTTTATAACATATAAATGTGACGTGATTTACATAAATTTGAAAAACAAAATCAGGCATGGTGGTGCATGCCTATAATACTGGCAGTCAGGAGGCTGAGGTAGGAGGATTGCTTGGTGATCAAGGCCAGCCAGGCTACATAAGAAGTTCAAGTCTAGCCTGAACTACATAGCAACACCCTGTCTCAAATAACTAAATGGCCAGGGATATAGCTCAGTGGCACAATGCCTGCCTGGCAAGCGCGAGGTCCTGAGTTCAATTCTCCGCACCAAAAAAAAAAAAAAACCTCAACAAGTAATTTAAAAACAATGCAAAGCACTGTCATTTAGTATGTTTCAAGAACTTCACGGGGAATGTTAAACACCAGATTCAGGAAAGTTGTTTCTTGGCAGGGGGAAAGGGCTATGTTAGAGGAAAAGGGATGAGATTAACCAGGGGCTACAAGCATGTTTCTGCTGTGCTGTCTTTTTTTTCTTTTTATACTGGAGATTGGATCTAGGGTGAACTGAACTATGTCCCCAGAGCTTTTTATTTTGAGACAGGGTCTTGTTAGGTTACTCAGGCCGGCCTCAAACTTGCTGATGCCCCTGCTTTGGCTTCCCAAGTAGGTAGGATTATAGGCATGTACCACATCACCCGGATTGTGTTGTATTACTTAAGCAGGGTGAAGGGTACAGGCATGTTCTTTATAGCTTTGTACGGTGTAATGATAGTAGTTTATAACATTAAAAATAAAGCAGAATGGGATCATAGTTATGCAAAGGGAAACAGAGAAAGCTAAGGGCACCCACAGCAAACGCAGATAGATTCGAGGAAGACTTCTTAGATTAAGTGGCATTTATGTGAAAACAGGAGGAAGAATTAAACAGAGGGAGAAGGAGGAATTTTATTTCAGAAAGACAGCAAGCTCGTAAAAGAAAGTTTGGCAAAGGAATTGAGAGAAATTCCTTAGGGCTGGAGTATAAAGAGTGGGCCACGAATTTGTACCCTGTCCTAAGGTGGCAGGGAATTAGTCACAGGGGTTTTCAGCAGGGGAGTTGTGTGGTTATATTTTCCTTCTGGAGGATGTCTCCAGCCTCGGCCGGGAGAGGACTGGAGGTGGCAGGCCGGACGCATCTTAAAGTGGACAGCTTCGGACAAGCAGGTGAACCTGGCTGGTTGAACTTCTGAGTTCTGAGGAATATCTGTGTCTGCCGACTCACTCTGACCGCTCTGGAGTTAGGCAGACATGGGTTTGAATCCCAGCCCTGCCACTTGATGGCTTCGTGCTATAGGGCAAGGCACTCTCTGAGCCTCAGTTTCTTCATCTATCAAGTGGAAAAAATAGCTCTTCCTCATATTGGTGAAAATGAATCATGAATACAAAGCATGTAATTCTATACCTGAGTGATGCTAAGCAACCAGGGAGCGTTTCCCACCCCCCACTTTACCTGCCATCTACCTCTGGGGTAGTTCTCCGTAATGTGGAAGTAACCTGTCTACCTTCCTCTTGTTGTCCAAGCTTCAGTTAAAAAGCACAAGTCTGGAATCCCCAGACACCCAGCAGGCCCCGAGAGCTGCCCGTGGCACAAAGTCTGTGCGCTTGCTCCTGACAGTGAGCTTCCTTCCTGTTCCCTCACAGGTCCAAGTGGGTCCCCCGGGGTGACTACATCGCCTCGAACACGGACGAGTGCACAGCCACACTGATGTACGCCGTCAGCCTGAAGCAGTCTGGCACCGTGAACTTTGAGTACTACTACCCAGACTCCAGTATCATCTTTGAGTTTTTTGTGAGTCCTGGCCAAGGGGGAGGAAGGGAAATACAGACTCTCTGAGATTTAGATTCATTTGCAGAGGGGCTGGGGATTTAGCTCAGTGGCACAGCGCCTGCCTGGCAAGCGCAAGGTCATGAGTTTAAGTCCTGGTACTGGAAAAAAAAAAAAACCAACCAAACAAACAAAAAAATAGATTCATTTGCAGGAATCAACTACAAGTGTGGTCCTGCTTGGGAAATAGCAGTTGTTTTTCCCCTGGAGAGAACTGCGGGCAAATGAGCTGAGGCCCGAGGAGGCAGGGGAAGCAAAAGTGAAAGGACCCTGGGGACGGGGGATAGAATCTGTGAGATTTCTAGGTGTTTCCTCCTGCTCAGACATGAAAAGAGCATATAAATGGCTGAGTCGCAAATTACTTCTTTGATGTCAGTGCTGAGTGCTTTGTGTGTGTGTGTGTGTGCGCGCGCGCGCGCCCCTAGTCCAAAGCTTGTGTGCCCCGGCTCAGTCCTAGAGGAAACTGACAATTCCTTCTGTAAGAAGGGCCCTCTGTAGGGCTGTGCAACATGGACTAAGGCCCTTATTTCCTCCGACTCCTGCTGCCTCAGGTCCAGAATGATCAGTGTCAGCCCAACGTGGACGACTCCAGGTGGATGAAAACCACGGAGAAAGGATGGGAATTCCACAGTGTGAGTGTCACAGCAGCCTTCCCTGGAGGTCCCAGGGCAGGGCCAGGGGCTTCTCCTCAAGGAGCACGTCCTCTCGTGCTGAGCTTCCTGCTCCTGTGCTCCTGGAGGGCAGGGGTCTGAGGAGAGGAGCGGGTGCTGGCTCCTGTTCTCTTGATGGGTGGAAATGGGTACAGGGTGGCTTCTTACGCTTAAGCTTCACCCCAAGCACAGCAGCTTTCTAGCTTTAAGGCCAAGATTTCTGGAGAATGAGGCGACACCAGGTACCCTATTACCAGTCACCTCGAGTCCCTCTATTGGTTTCACTGTAAGAGATGCTCGTGGAATCTGTGACGCAAAGAGCAGTGGGAGAGGGTGTGAGGGGGCTTCAGGGGAGGCTTACAGAGAGGGGCTGAGCTAAGCTGGGAAGGGCAAAGACGAGGAAGAGGAGGGAGACCGTCAGACAGGCCGTGTGTACTCAGTGAGAGGGCAAAGGGGCAGCTTAGCGAAGCCTGGCTCTGCCATGAACTAGCTGATGCCTTGTTGTCATTTTCAGGTTGAGCTAAATCGAGGCAATAATGTCCTCTACTGGAGAACCACAGCCTTCTCAGTGTGGTCCAAAGTTTCCAACCCTGTGCTGGTGAGAAACATCGCCATCACAGGTACGAGGGCAGGGCTGGGATTTGGGGTCTTTTGCTGACTTTCTGGCCTCTTGACTTGGCAGGGAGGGTGGTGGTCAGGCCCCAGAGCCTCCGCACCCAGACTCAGTCCTTGCTGTTCTACATGTTCCTCCGTAGGAGTGGCCTATACCTCTGAATGCTTCCCCTGCAAGCCGGGCACGTACGCAGCCAAGCAGGGCTCCTCTTTCTGCAAACTTTGCCCAGCCAACTCTTACTCAAATAAAGGAGAAACGTCTTGCCACCCTTGTGACTCTGACAAATATTCAGGTGATGTTGGGGTTTGGGGAGTGGAGGATGACAACACACAGGGAGGAGCTGGGAGGCAGAGCCGTCCTTCTGGCCAAGCTGATGATAATAAATCATAAACCCTTCCTTTCCAGACCATGGAAGAGCCTTGCTCATCCATATCCACCAATCACTCCAGTAATCAATCAATCAATACCTGTTGAGCCTCTGCTACCTTCCAGGCCCTATTCTAGGTGCTTAGACTATATCGGCAAAAAGTCCATGTCTTCCTGAAATTTACATTCTAGTGGAGGGAAAGCAGACAATAAACCATAAGTATAAGAAATGAATGACTTATACATAATCAGTTATATAGTATATTATGTTTGGTGGCAAAAAGGAAAAGCAGCTCTGAGTTAGAGGGATTAGGAAAAACAGGGAAAGGTTTTGCAATCTCTTTTTCCAAGTAGTAAAATCTGTTTTATTTCATTAAAACCTATATGGTTATAATTATAGTCAAAAATTGAAAAGATACATTTATACACTTTAATTTATAAAAGTTTTTATTGAGACAGGGTCTCACTATGTAGTTCAGGCTGATCTTGAACTCACCACGTACCCCAGGATTGCCGCAAACTCAGAGATCCACCTGCCTCAGCCTCCCAAGTGCTGGAATGATAGGTGTGCACCACCACACCCAGCTATAGCAGTTATTATAAAGGTTATTTTTAAGAACTATGAGGTTCTATTGATGAGCACAAACATGAAGGTTTTATTTTATTTTTAAATGACAGATAATAGTATATATTTATAAGGCATAATGTTTCATTATACCACATGTATACTTTGTGGAATGATCAGATCAGGCTAAGAGTATAACCATTTTGATAGCAAGGACTAAGTATGGAAGTTAGGATCTTTTTCTCAGACCAAGCATCTGCTTAGTTCAAAGCAGGGATATATATACATATATATTCTTACACCCTAGCCTCCTAGATACCTGAGACTGCTAGGCTTCGTGGCACGCACCTGTAATCCCAGCACTCTGGGGAATTGAGGCAGGAAGGTCACAACAAGTTTGAGCCCAACCTGGGCAATGTAGTGACTTATTGAGACCCTGCTTCAAAATTTTAAAAAATATAAAAGCTCTGGGGGTATAGTTGAGCACAAAGTTCCTGGGTTCCATCCCCAGTGTGGGGGTACAAGAGAACTGGCGCTACAGGCATGTGCCAACACGCGGGGCTCCAAAGCAGGCATTTCTGAAAAATCCAGATTTCCTTGGTACACAGTTTGAAACCCCCTGCTGTAAGGGAAGGCCACTTCCAGGGGCCATTTGAAAGCAGCTTATTTATCCAATCCTAGATTCAGTAGCTTCCTAAAACATCCAAATTAAAGAAACAAGACCTGTCATCTGAAGAGGTGTCAGGGGACATCAAGGCTCTGGGGTAAGATGGGCAGTGCCACCAGAGGGCCCTCTGTCAGCAGCCGGTGATTGGCACAAGGGGCAATCTCCAAGGCAGGTTTGGAACAAGGACGAAAGGAGGAAGAGTTTTTCTTTTGGTCCTTTGAAACACTCATAGCTGTTCTATTGTTATTGCTTACACAGAACCACACAAAACCCAGCACAAAGGCATCTCTCAAGTAGACCCCATGTCCCCACAGAGACACCCACACTCCACACAGGTGTTGTTTGCTTAGCCAAGACTAGCCATGACCTTGTGAGTTGATTAATTTCTACATCACTCCTAAAACAAAAGACCTATTAATCTACACAGATCTTGCCAAATAATGAGTGTAGTTTTCAACCAGAACAAGAACGTATAGATCTTGGAGGAAGTTTTTATCTGTAAGTCTAAATTCCTGTTTTTCCACTTGAATTTCTTGTTTCCCTTCCTGCTCTGCCTCTGTCAATGGTGGCCTTTGTTAGTCTGTTAGTCGGCTCCTTTTCCAGCTCAACAGTTGTGCAAGGGTTTGAACAGCAGGGTGGTTCTGGCAAAACTGCCTAGGAGTGTGTTGATCATCTCAGTGTAAACTGAATTTTAACCAGGGAGCTGTTGTAAAATGTTAGGCTGCAGTCTGAATTCTTGGACTGTATTCTTCTTCCATCCACTTCTTAAACTGCCCCTTTGATTGAGCAGTGAGTTTTTACTAGAAAAATGAGGTTACCTTGTTGACTATCTCACCAGCTTGGGATTCAGAGTCACATTTCTTTGAGATCTGACTCTTCCAAAAGGTGCAGGGGAGAAGATGGAAGGCTTAGAAAAATGCAGCATCAGATAAGTGCCTGTCGTGAAGTGCATGAGTGGTGGAAGGCCCATCCACGTACAAATACATTCTGAGGGCGTGCCAGGGCTGGGCGGGGTCACGGGTGGAGCTTGTGGCTACCCTCCAGCTTCTGCTGACAAAAGCACTTAGGTGCAGTACTCTCCATGGTGTGATGGGGCTGGGATAGTGGGGCTGGGATAGTTGTGCTGGGTATCATGTACTATGAAGGAATAAAAGAAAAAAAAGAAGTCATTAGTTCTCTCTGGGGTAGGAGGAGAGACTTCACTAGCTAAGTTTCCGTGATATGAGCTGAGTTGAGCATGCATGGTGGTACATGCCCATAATCCCAAGCCTCAGGAGGCTGAGTCAGGAGGATTGCAAATTCTAGGCCAGCCTGAGCTATGGCTTGGACTACACAATGAGACCCTGTGTTAAAAAAAAAAAAAAAAAGAAAAAGAAAAAGAATAAAGATGAGCTGAATTTTGAAAGATGAAGTGGTGATTTAATGAGGAGAGGATGTTTGAGGTAGGGAAAGTGTAAGTCCAGGCCAGAAGGCTCAAGGATGGAGGTTAGGATGGAGAGACGTAGCTTTCAAGGCTGAAAGGTAAGCAGGGAACAGAGCGTGAAGCAGCCCTCCTGTACTATTGCTAGAAAAAGTGGGATTTGCTAAAAAAAATTTAAGTCCGTTTTAATGAAGAATAGTGACTGCTAGAGGTTGGGAAAGGCAGGGGAGAGGGGAGAGGACGAAGTCGGACGACAGGTACCAACATGCAAATAGGAGAACAGTGCTGTGTTCCACAGCACAGTGGGGTGACTATTAACCTAGTGTGACCTCCTGCATAGAGCCTATTATATCTTAACCTATTATAACCTATTATAATCTTAACCTATTATAACCTATTATTTTAGTGAGGAACTTAGAAGAGAAGAGCTTGAAGGCTCCAAATATAAAGAAATGATAGGGAGATGAAAATGCTGATTACCCTGATTGATCGGGATATGCTGTGTACACTTGAAATATCGCACTGCACCCATAAGATATGCAATTATTATGTGCTAATAAAAATTCTCTTTAGAGGGCCAGGGATATAGCTCAGTGGCACAGGTGCCTGCCTGGCAAGTATGAGGTCCTGAGTTCAATTCCCGGTACCAAAAAATGGGTACCACCCGGACACATTAAAGAATTTTGAGCTGAGAGGGGACATGACCGAACTCGTGCTTTGGAGGCCACTCTGGCTGCTCTGTGGAGGAAGAGAAGGGGCTAGAGACCGAGGCCAGAGCTGGGGGCTTTTGCAGCAGGCTCTGTTACTGGGGCCCAGGATGGAAACAAAGGAGGGCTTAGCAGGCTGAAGACCGGAGAACTCACAGGGGAGATGTTAAGGACAAACATGTGATGGAAAACATTTTTCACTGCTACCTAACATTTGATCAGTAGGATTAATTCCTTTACGCTGTTAGGATAACATGGAGCTTAAGAGTGTGGATTCCAGAACTAAGTTACTGGGCTCAAGTCCCTGTTCTACCACTTACTAGCTGGGACACCTTGAGCACATTCCTCACCTGTGCCCAAGTTTCTGTAACTGATCTTAGTTGAAAAGCTCCGAAGTGATTGTACCTCAGACTCTTCATTTCTAAAATGGGAAGGACAATAATTGTACATACTTCACAGTGTTACCATGAGGACTGATTCAAACAGGTAAAGAACTTAGGGGGCTGGCATGTAGGAAGCACCAATTTTATTGGTTCATTACCCTGAAGGCTTGTCTGAATATTCTTATTTAGTATGAAAATAGTCTTGTTGTAGGTCACAATCACAAGAGGCCACCTATATAGAACTTCGTAATTGAAAATTATTTATTTCTTGGACTATAGGGGTTGGTTTTCCCATTTACAAATGAATAAAGAGAAGCTCAGAAAAAGAGTAAGGGGCTTGCCAAGAATCTGAGCTGGTGTCTGAGCAGGGCCTTGTGTTCCTTAGGCCCGTAAATATTTTCCCTTGACAAAAGCAGTCTGAGCGGGAACCTAGGTGTGGGGAAAGGATCCTGAAAGGAGGACAATCCGGACAGAGGAGTGGAGGCTCCCTGAGAACAACTTTCTCTCCATACAGCTTTCCCAGGGTCAGTCCCACTGTGCTCAAATTGCTTTCCACTCCCTCCGCCAACCAAACTTGCAGGCTGATCTTCCAAACTTGACCAGTGCCCGGCCTAAACACCTCGGTGAAGTTGAGCTAGCAAAGTGAGGCCTGTCTTATCCTTTGGGTTAATCATTTACTAAAACCATTTAAGCAGTGGTCAGTGTGTAAACAGCTGGATCATTCTTGCTATAATCTGTCAGGCTGAGCAAATATTTGACAAGCAGAGAAAGGTCTTTGCGCAGAAGGCATTATCTAGCACACACCTCATACTTGACTAGATTCAATACCCAAGGTCCTGGGAATGGGCATGTGTTCAGCGTCTCCTCCCAGGTCTCTCCTGGCCAAGTCAGTCAAGAGCAGGAGCCCCTGGATCCCTCTGTGCTGAACTGGACATTCTGCTTGTTAACCGAATAAAGAGCTGGGAAGACCTCTGCTGTGTCTCAGCTAGTATCTCCCTCTTGCCCAGCCTAGCAAGACGGGGACAGAAGAGATGGGGAAATGTGCAACTAAGGAAACTCCCTAGTGCAGGCCAGCAAAGCTGTAATGAGGAGAGTCTCTGATCAAGGAAGTCACTTGGGAAAATATAGAGATCAGCTAAGATATCAGCCCTTCAGTGAAGGGAAGGAAAAGAGATTTTTAATCCTGATTACATCTCCTGTGACAGTTCCAAAATAAAAATAATTTGCAAACATGCAGGTCGTAATAATTGTGCTGTTTAGTAAATATCTACTTACAACATGCCAGGCATGTGGGACTCCAAGATAGATGATACTATTCCTGCTTCACGGCTGAGTGAGCCAAAGCTCAGAGTGGTTAAGCAACTGGCTTACAGTGACACAGCTGTTAAGGATGAAGCAGAATCCAAACCTAGCTCTGTCTAGATTTAAGTCTCACTTAGCTACACCATACTACTTGTCAGGTAATATATAGGAAGGGAGAAGCTCCCATCATTACCAAATGTTTGCTTGCAGGGGACGAGGGACTCATATTAGAAGCAGTGGTAGCAGCAGTAGGAGTATTGTAATGTACGCTATATAAAGCAATTGCTTTTACAGTGGATATGAATTAAAAATAACTAAAGAACAAGGAGACACTTGTATAAAACATGTGACAGTAAGCATTAAAACTAGCTAAGCCAGGCATGATGGCTCACGCCTGTAATCCCAGCACTCTGGGAGGCTGAGGCAGGAGGATCACTGCGAGTCCGAGACCAACCTGGGCTACAAAGTGAGCTCAAGGCCGGCCCGAACTGCATAGTGAGACCTGTCTCAATAAATAAATAAATAAATAAATAAAATAAAATAAAACTGGTTAAGCACAAAGTCTAAAATTGTTACAGGTAGGGTAATAAAACTAAATGTGAAAATAGACTTGTAAGCTAGATCTAAAATTTTTAGTTTATGTAGTTTTAAACTGTCAAAGAGCATGCCAAATAGTCAATGTACTAGGCAAATAAGTATGGTTTTATTTTTGTCACATAGTATCATAGATAAAGATGCATGTTGTTAATTAAGCCAAATGTATGTAAAATAAAAGTGTTTTGTCACTGTGGACAGGACAAGTACTGTAAAGACAATCTGAATGTTAATCTGATGAAATGGAAAATGGTACAGCTTTATTTCTCTTATGTTTAATTACAAAGGAAGAAAACTAGGACTTTTGTTCATAATGTTAATACTGATAGCATAAGAAGAAAATTTCCAAAGCACTGCTTTGAGAAGAGTGGATAAAATGTTGTGTGATAAACTGGGTTGGGAAAAAATGGCAGTTACTGCCTCAGATGGTAGTTCCTAGTCAACTTGTCACTGAGTTGTGGACAGAAGTATAATATATACGTTCCAAGCTTTGAAACTGAAAAGAAATAAAAAGCCAGGAAGAGTAGCAAAAGAAAAATGGCAAAGAAGCATTAAAACAGCATAAAAGCAATTGACAGAGGTAGAGGTGATTTATCACACTCATAAATTGGTTAAATTCCCAATTAATAAAGTCCAAATTTAATAAAAAAATCTATCTTTGAGATGTCTACATTTGTATAAAACAAAGGTTAAAAGGGTTTAAGAGTAATAGAAAATCTTTAGATCATACAAACAGGGAGCAACTTTTAGGCAGAAATAAGAATATGACAACATATTACACATTTAAGAGACTTTATGTGGTAAATAACATGACATTCATTTGTAAGATCAACGTTCAGTACATTGATGAGGGTGGTAGTTTTACTTCTGTAAACTGACAGATTAATATAATATCTATATCTATATCTATCTATATTTTGGTGGGTTTTTTTGTTTTTTTTTTTCTGGTACCAGGAATCGAACTCACGACCTCATGCTTGCCAGGCAGGCACTGTGCCGTTGAGCTAAATCCCCAGCCCCTCCTATCTACATTTTGTTACCAGGATTTAAACTCGTGATCTTGCACTTGCCAGGCAGGCACTGTGCTCCTGAGTTCTATCCCTAGCTTGATTCATATGTTTTTAAAAGATATGTATATTGTAAAATACATACTTCAGATTAGTGCATTTATTCAGGCATGGCAGTACCTTCCTGTAATCACACACCTGTTATCCCAGACTGAGGCAGGAGGATTGCTGTGAGTTTGAAGCCAGCGTGGGCTACATAGCAAGACCCTGTCTCAAAATAAATAAATAAATAAATAAATAAATAAATAAATAAAAGTTCATTTTATGTACTTAAAGTTCATTGAGTAATCCTTCAGTTAAGAAGAATGAATGTGCAGTAATTTAAAAAGCAATCGTTTTTATTTTGGAGAAAGCAAATTCCCTATGGGGGGGAAAAATTAATTTTTTTATTTGCATGAGTTAGGCATATTTTTCTGCATAGAAGAAACAGTTCTCTTTTTTTCAAAATTTTAAAAAGTTTTCTCAGTTCCAAAGAGGTGAAATCCATTGCTTTAAAAGGAAATTCACTGAAATAGTTGCTGTTATCCAGCCATTCATAGGGTTGAGGAAGAACTGATATAGACATAAGGAGGACACACAGAGCAGGGTAAAACCGATACATTGCATTTCTTGTCAGGTGCACATTACAGGTTAAAGGCAGCATTCATGAGAAAACCTCCCATGTTAAATGGAGTCCAGGGAACTTACAGCCTAAACTTGACTGCGTTTTAGTTCAACCTTCAGCAGTAGCCAAACTACCAAGGTCGGGGTGCTAAGGCACCTGGACAGTGGCGGGTTTCAGGGGTCTGGGGTCGGTGGTGGTGAACCTGCCAGATATTGTTCCCAGCTACGCCCCTCGAACTGGTCTGCGGCCCCACGGTGCAGGGCCAACAGCTTCTCATCAGCACCAGGAAGAGATTGAGAGGAGTAGCTGAGCAGGGAGTGGGGACCTGAAAAGACCTCACTGAAGCAAAAGGAAGGGTGGGGGTGCAGGGTTTTCTACTTTCCACTCCATCCCAGGGGCTTGAGAGTTCCGGGATCATGGGCAACTGCTTTTTAAATGCAACTTCAAATGTCATTTCTTGCTTTGGTAATTTAGAAAAAGGAGCCTCTTCCTGCAAAATGCGCCCAGCCTGCACAGACAAAGATTATTTCTACACACACACGGCCTGTGATGCCAACGGAGAGGTGGGTATCAAGATCTCAGAGCCCCTCTGCGCAGGTAGCCTGTCTCCTGTTCTCTGCCTTTCCCACCTTTTGGAGCACTAGGGGCCAGTGAGCTGGTCCCAGGTGAGACCCTGCAGACATGTGTGACCACCCCAGGGCTGGTCAGGGGCCAAGCAGGACGGCTCCATTCACTTTCAGATCGGAAACTGGTTTTTCCTCATTCCCTTCCCTGCTTATCCAATTATGCTCTGTTTCAAAAACCTTTTCTTTTTCTCTTGCGTGGTTTCTTCCATCTGCTCAGCCCCTCTGGGTGGCGCCTGCCTGTCCACACCCCCATGTTTCCTCCCGGAGCTCCTCGGGCTGTGTCCTCAGTGTCGCTGCTGCACGCGGTGGAGAGGCGCTGACGCACAGTCCCGGCCCGCAGGAGAATGGCCCGCTGGTTCAGTCGCGGTGGTTTCTCTTTCTCCCAAGCCTCCGGACTCAGAAGAGGACTTTCCTTTGTGATCTAGCTGTTACCAACTCAGCAAGCTCTTGTGCGCTGACTGACGTGCTAGGCTGGGGAGTGAGAGGGGACGGAGGTGCCAGGGCTCCTTCCTTCACAGAGCTCGTGCCTGGTGTGGGAGGCTGAAGAGAGGACAAAGTGGAGCCGGACAAGGCAGCCAGGGGGGTGCACATGGGAGGCGGGGGCGGAGCCCAGAAGATGGCAAGTCAGCATGAGGCATCACAGAAGGCTTGTTGGAGGAGGAGGTTTGCTCAACAGTCAACAAATATTTACTGAGCAGCTACTGCATGCTAGGACACTATGCTACACGCTAGGTCCACATCAGTTAGCAAAACATCTAGTTCTTTTTTTTGTGGTACCGGGGATCGAACTCATGACCTCACGCTTGCTAGGCAGGCCCTGTGCCACTGAGCTATATCCCCAGCCCCCAAAACATGTAGTTCTTAAGTGGCTTCATTCTTGTCGGGGAAGGAGATAACAGAGGGGCCCTCCTGTATCAAATGGTAATGAGTGGCAGGAAAGACAAAGGAAACAATTAGAAGACAGAGAATGACAGAGTGGGGATGCTATTTCAGAAAGGTGGGGATGGCCGAGTGAGATACGGAAAGAGACGTGGGTTTCCGAGGCAGCGGGCACAGAGGTGAGGAGGCAGCGGCAGGGGCTGGCGGAAGTGGGGAGGGATGAGCCTGAGACTAGACGCTCTGGACAGACAGTTGATCCCTAAGCCAGAGCTTTTCAGGGTTACAGCTGGGAGGGTTCGGCAGTCGGCCCTGCGCTCTTGGGGCACGTGAGTGTTTGCTGGGTGCACAGCTGGCTGACTTGTCCCTTCGCTAAGTAAGTACGAGATAAAGTCTAGTCCTTAGCAGTGGTTCTTTTTTTTCACAGTTATCTCTTTCCACCACCCTCCTCCCCCGTATGTGGAGCACTGCACCCTCCCACAGGCGCCTGGGAGAATGTCTGCTGTTAGTGGGACCTTAGACTGAGTTCCAGAGCCTCGGGTGTTCCGTACGAACTTGGAAAAATTATTTTTGCTTTCTTGGTATCAGTCAACTCACTAATACAATGGGGACAATGAATCCTGTCCTTTTCCCACTGGGCATAGTGGCTTCTCTTCTTCCTTCTGCCCCGCTCTCTCCTCTCCTGGATTCAGGTCACAGCCTTTCAGGTCTGCAGTGTGCTGCGCTGCCGAGAGCCCGGGTGCTGCCCTTGCCAGATCCCTCCCGAGGTCCCTAGACGCTGGGTCAGGCCGAGGCCCTGCTCCTGGTGCAGCACAGCCCAAGTGCAGCACGGGAGCAGCACGGAGGCACGTGCTTTGGGGGTACACGTGAGTGTGCATGGCGAGTCTCCTCCATGCGCTGACACCCACACTCCGTCTGCTCAGCCTGGTGATTTAGCCTCTCTCTCCTTCTCTCCCTCCCTCCTACCCCTCTCTCTCTTGGTTTTTTAAGACAGAGTTTCACTATGTATTTCAGGGTCTTAGTCTTACTGTATATTTCAAATTGGTCTTGAAGTCACTATGTAGCCCAGGCAGGCCTTGAACTCACAGTGATCCTCTGGCCTCAGATTCCCAAGAGCTGGGATTACGGTCATGAGTCACCACACCCAGCTCCTGTTCTCAAATCTGTATTTTAAAATCAAGGAACATGACCTCAAGCTGGTTGCTGTGATTGCCCTGTGCCCTTTTCTGTGCCTACTGGGTTCTCAGGGACCAGAATGGCCAATCCTTTGGGGCCACTAAATATGCTGCTCCAAGAGATGGCACGAATCAGTCTTTTCTCCTCTCCCTGAGACCCACAGGAGACAGGCAGGGGAGGGGGAGGTCTGGATGACATCCTGGGGCCCTGGCCACCGGCTGCTCACAGTGAGGAAGAGGCTCAGGGCTCACCACCAATGAAGGCAGCAACTCTGTTTGTCTCTTCTTATCCTAAGAGGCCTTATCTACCCATCCTTTGACATGAATGTATGCAGCACAGGTCACGTTCATCATCCCCTCACTGCCATCCCCCAAGATACCTTTTCTGGTCTGACTGATCCGAGTGCTGTAGGAGAATGGAGATCACACCCTCCAACACACACAACAGGGTCTCCTGCAGGTCATCCTTCCTTCTGCATCTTGCTTTTATCAAAAGACAAGGGATGCTCTAGTGGGTGTCAGAACACGGCCTCTATGTCCACTGACCTGGTGGCTGACCATTCCTCTTGTCCCCTCTCCCACCTGGTTTGTCATTATGTGTTCTTGTGCTCCCCGTATGGTTTGTTCCTGCAGGCCAGGAGCCGTGTTTCATTCCTCATGAAGATGCCAGCTTTGGCACATAGCTGTATTGTATTGGACTTCCCATAAATGTGTACTCACTAAATGAAAGAGCAAAGAATACACCTCTTGGAAAACTAGAACATTTCACCCACCCCTCTTTCCCTAAGGTCTATGTAAGCCTCTACTTCATGCTGCTTTGTGTTCTCCGGTCCTCACGGGCTACTTTTCCAGTGACCTTGGTAGCAATAAGTTTCCACAGTGGAATCAGAGCTTTTTCTGAAGATAATGGTCCCCCATTTTCTCTGTCACAAAATTGTCGTTGGATGCACCCTTCCTCAGCAAGTCAACATGTGTTAAGCAGTTACTAAGCACAAGCATATGTCAGGTGCTGGCCTAAATGCTTGGGATACCTCAGTGACCAAAACGAAGTCCGCCACCCAGGTGGAGCTCTCATCATGCCCCAGGATCCCTCCTGTTCACCCTCACCCTCACGCTCACAGATCGGGGTCCTAAATATGTGCTAAATCCCATGCATGCTGGATTGTGCTTAATCCATTTCTGCAGACGCAGCTCATGTACAAATGGGCCCAGCCAAAAATCTGTGATGAAGATGCTGAGGGGGCAGTGAAGCTCCCCGCCTCTGGTGTGAAGAAACGCTGCCCACCCTGCAACCCAGGCTTCTTCAAAACCAGCAACAGCACCTGCGAGCCCTGCCCTTATGGCACTTACTCCAATGGCTCTGGTAAATCCCCTCCGCCCTGTTGCCCACAATGCATCGACCCTCATATCCACCTCGTGGGTGGGCCGTGTGGACACGGAGTAGTAGCTGAACACAGTCTGCCCTTCCAAGAGAGGCAGTAAAGAGTGAGCCAGCTCTGGGATCCAAGTTCAGGAGAGGAGAGGTCAGGGCTAAGCCTGGCTGTTGGTCAGGGTCCTCTTCACTGCATTTGCAAATGTGACTCGGGCCTGAAAGGACTGATTCCTCTCCGCAGAGCCTCTGGTACCTGGCAGAGATGCCAACTAGAAGGTCTGGGGTGGGGCTGAGATGACCAGCTTGACATAATCAGAACCTATAAGCCATACTGCAAAAATAGGAGCTGAGAGATGTGTACGTATTGTATTTTATAACAGTGTGGTAATAATGTGAACTACATGAGTCAGAGTAGAAGGTGCATCTAAATTTTGCAGTGAAAATTTCGGTGGTCAAGAAAGATGTTTGGAACGTGAGAATGAAGGGTCAGGTTTACATCCCAGGCTCGTCGTCAGAATCTTTTGGAGTCGGTTGGACGTAACTGCACGGTGATGCTCAGCAGCCGTCCCCCCGTTGGCTGCCACTTGTGTATGTGGCAGCAGCTTCAGGAAGAGTGGCTGCGGCCTTCCCGCTGAGGATGGGTCTTGTGGTTTCCCCAGATTGTACCCACTGCCCCGCTGGAACGGAGCCCGTCCTCGGATATGAATACAAATGGTGGAACATGCTGCCTGCGAACATGGAGACGACTGTCCTCAGTGGGATCAACTTTGAATACAAAGGCCTGACAGGTAGCCGCCTCTTCCTGCTCTCCCACAGGGATTCTTCCACGTTCATGTTTCTTCATAACAGTGATGCCTGAGGAAAATGAGCTAATCACATCATACATTCCCTTGAAAGTTCTACTCCTGTGGGCATGTATTCTGCCCAGGCTTATTTCGGAGACAGAAACAGAGCTGGAAACGGTGTGCATATGCTGCAAAGGTCTCTCTGAGGGCATTAACTATCCCCTTTCTTTTTCCAGGCTGGGAGGTGGCTGGTGATCACATATACACAGCTGTTGGAGCCTCAGACAATGACTTCATGATTCTCACTCTGGTTGTGCCAGGATTTAGGTGAGGAATATAAAGCCAAGGTGAAGCCCACACCAACTTGGCCATATCCAAATCCTACATACTTTAGACTGTTGTAGAGGCGAGGGCTTCCGGGGCTGGATTCCACTTCCTTTCAGACACCTTTAACAGAACAGAGGGGAGGACAGTGATGGTTTGACTTGGCTGACCCGGATGCTAACGCATTTTCTTAGTTGCTGCCTATGCTGATTTACCCACCTCTCTCTCATCCCCTCTAGCTTCACCCACTGATTGGTCACATCAAAAAGGACTTTAAAAACTTTTTAAAAATAGGGCCAGATATATCTACAATTCATCTCTACTTGGGGCAAGAAGATTGAGAAGGATTTTTCTTGTGTTATATTTGTCCCTATAGCCTATGAGGACAGGGTAGGATCACAAGCAATTTGTTTGCCATTAAGACCAAAAATTTAGGGTTGTAGTTCAGGGCTGGAATGTTTGACTAGCATGTGAGAGGCCCCAACTTTAATCCCAGCACCACAAAAGAAATTTTTTTTAAAGAAAGAAATTAAACACATAACAAACCAAAAAGCTCCAAACAGTCTGATATAATGAAAAGAGCACTGGACTGGGAGACAGGGCGCGTGAGCAGTTGAGCTGTGCCACCGACTGGCTTGGTGAACTTGGGAAAGTGTCTTTGCCTCTCCAGGCTTCAGGCTCCTGGCCTGTAACACTAATCTGTGATGCAAGACTAGCTCGGGTTGTAATGATTCTTCCCGCTCCTTGGTTAGCACAGCTGTGTAGAAAGCCCTGAGAACTGAAGCTCTTTGGGGTCCAGGCAGATGGCTAAAGCTCAAAGAAAAACAATAGCTGGGAGTGGTGGTGCACACCTGTTAATCCCAGCACTCAGGAGGCTGAGGCAGGAGTATCGTCATGGGTTTGAGGCCACCTGGGCTACAAAGTGAGTTCAGGGCCAGCCTGAACTACATAGGGAGACCCTGTCTCAATAAACAAAATAACAGAAACAAAACCAAAACCAAAACCAAACAAACAAAAAAAAAACAAAGAAAAGCCATAATGAATTTCTAAAGCCGGAACGAACTCTTCTGCTGTGAATGCTTTTTTTTGGGGGGTACCAGGTATCAAACTCAAGATCTTGCACTTGCCAGGCAGGTGCATGTGCCACTGAGCTATATCCCCAGTATGAACGCTTTAAAGATGAGGAAGAACCACTGAGTGGGCTCCTTATTGCCAAGTGGACTTCTTCATCCTTCCTTGGAAGTCCCTGCTTTTCCTCCCTGGGATAGTGCTCAGCCAGTGGCAGTTCAAAAAGTATTAGTTTTTCCTTTCCTTAACCCACATTACTTGGTGTAGGCCAGAGGGATCCTATGCTGGCAAGATTAGCAAACTTTAGGTTTTGTGGAGTAACATTCCAAAAAGTGCTTTCTAATTTGTAAATCTGATTACCATATGTATTAGTCAGCTATCCATTACTGTAACAAAATGCCTGAAATCATCGATTTAAAAAAGGATATGTTTACTTTGGTTCACAGTGCCAGACCATGATGGGTCGGCTTAGTTGCTTTAGGCCTGTGGTGAGGCAGCATGTCATGATGGGGAGCAGACAGTGGAGCAAACTGCTCGCCTCATGGCATGCAGGAAGCAAAAAGAAAGCGAGGGGGTATTCCAGTGACCTAACTTCTTCTTCCCATGAGGGCTTACCCACTAAATGTTCTACCACCTTCCAATAATGCCATAGGCTAGGGACTAAGACTTTAACACACGGCCTTTAGAAGATGTTAATCACAACCATAACACCAAAGTAAAGTGCTTCCTCACTGCACCCCTAGCCTACTTGGACATGGCTCGCGCTTTCTCAAAAGGACAAATGGAAGGCACTGGGTTAAGGCACTGCAAGTTTGACTCATATAAGCCTGACAAAGCTGAGTAAATGACACAGCTTGCATTCTATGACAGTGCTTCTCCAACTCTAATGTGGATTCAGACTACCTGGGAATCCTGGTAACATGCAGATTCTGATTCAGTGACCAGGGGAGGACCTGAGGTTTTACCTTTCCAGTTAACTCCCAGGGCTGGTGATGCCGCTGGTCAGCAGAACCCTTCTGCATTTCATAAAGCATGTCCATGTTTGTGATGCCCTTGGATCTCACTACAATAACCTCTATGTTGCAAGTGAAGAAACTAGGTTGGCTAGGGCAAGCTCTAATAGCTTGGATGGCGGAAATGAACTTGGTCCGCAGTCTTTCCAACATACTTACAACCTAACCTTGGCCCCTAGGTGACTCCTTGCTGGTGTCTGGACTCTTCATTAAGCACTGTCTGGCCTCTGGAACTGACCTCTCATTTCTCTCCACACAGACCCCCACAGTCAGTGACGGCAGACACAGAGAATAAGGAGATGGCCAGGATCACATTTATCTTTGAGACCATCTGCTCCGTGAACTGTGAGCTCTACTTCATGGTGGTAGGTTTTCCTTTCTTTGCTGGCTTTGGGGTTTCTGGGGGAGAGTTGATCCCATCTGCCTCCGTGGTAAGTCAACACGATGGATACCTGCTAGTAGTGATTCCACAGAGGAAGGGCCTGGGGTGACCTCTGGGGACCTCACAGTTTCACATGGGCCTGACCAACTGTGATGGCCTGCAGAATGACAGTGGGATGGGCACCCCACGCCCTCCAGCCAGCATGCTTTCCTCACTTGTCTGTCCTGGATTCAGGGTGTGAATTCGAGGACCAACACCCCTGTGGAGACGTGGAAAGGTTCCAAAGGCAAGCAGTCCTACACCTACATCATTGAGGAGAATGCCACTATGAGCTTCACCTGGGCCTTCCAGAGGACCACGCTTCACTACATAGTGAGTTGCTTCTCTTCTGCCAACCCTCACCTCCCAGAAGCGACATCTGAACCAGGAGGACTCCTGGTGTGAGCTCACGTATGAGTCCAAGCTTTAGAACCCAGGGGTCAGAAGGGCCTTAAGGTCCTGCAGAGAACCGCCTACTGCAGCCTTCTGAGGACCATCCAGCCTTGTCTCGGTGACCTCCAGGGAGAATAACATTACGAGCACCATCAGTCACCTGGCTCTCCCTGCAATCTCAGCCCGTGGTGGAGTCAGGCCTGTTGTTTTTAGTAATAATAACTCTTGTTTTCTTAACTCAAATTAATACAAGTTTATTACACAAAACTTAGAAAATGAAATAGATGGAAGCAAAAAGAAGAAATAAAATCTGTCAAAACCATAATAACCAGAGGTAGCCTAGTTAATATCTGGGATATCTCCTATATAGTTTTTTTTTTTTTTTGTACTAGGAATCGAACTCAGGACCTTGCGCTTGCTAGGCAGGCACTTGTGCCACTGAGCTATATCCCCAGCCCTCTCCTAGATAGTCTTTATTTCTTGACAGGTACATGTTTTTCCCCCTTTGATAAAGAAAAGTCTTGCTTTTTTTCATATAAATGTATCCACTACATATTTTCCCATGCTACTTACTATTTTTACATGTAACTTAAAATTGAGTCAATCTTGCTTTAAAATGACACAAAATGCATATAAAGAACCATTGCTGAGTCAAAACAACAGACTGCTTCTGAGATTTTTCTCAAGTGCCACAGGATAAAACATTGAGAAGTACTTTGTTATTTCCACTGTTGCTGCTAACTCAGGCCTCCACTCTCTCCCCTCGTTTCCTTGTCTCCAGGGCAGAAAGTACACCAACGACGTTGCCAAGATCTACTCCATCAATATCACAAATGTCATGGACGGTGTGGCCTCCTATTGCCGCCCGTGTGCCCTGGAAGCCTCTGACATGGGCTCCTCCTGCACCGCTTGTCCTGCTGGTTACTACATCAACCGAAATTCTGGAACCTGCCATCCCTGCCCCCCCAACACCATCCTGAAAGCTCACCAGCCGTACGGTGCCCAGGCCTGCATGGCTTGTGGTCCAGGGACCAGGAGCAACCAGGTGCCAGCAGCCTGCCATGCATCCTAACCTTGGCCCCCCTGGTTGGATGGCCTCAGAGGGTGCTGGGTCCTGGATGGGGTTCTTGAGGGCAGATCCCCAAGTACTGCCCCAGCACACTTCCAGGTTGGCATCCTGGAATCCCTGGCCAGGGGTGGTGAGCTCTTAGCAGCAGGGTAGGAGTCCCCTCAGTCATAGACAGATCCACCTTCAGTTGATAGTAAGGGACATCAGTGACCAGTCTGGACCAGAGGGTTATTTATTTGACAACTGTGCAGAGACCCAAAGGGAAGGAATAGTGGAGCCTGCGGCTCAAATTCAGCCTAGTTCAATCCAACCTGTTACTGCGAGCTCGTCTCCTCCCTTTGGGAAAGTAATCCAACTTTTGCCAGGACGTACAGTTCACTGGCATTGCTCTCTTCTACCCCAGCTTTACAGGTATGAAGATTTCTCTCTAATGTGGAAAAACAGTACTTTCCCTTCCATATGTACTCAAGAAAGTATATGTGACTAAAAGCTCTTAGATGCTCATTAATGCTTCTAAATGAATTTGCATTTTACTGATCACAGCCGCACAGATGTACATCTATAAGATGTTCTATTCCCAGGCCTGGTGGCAAATGCCTGTAATCCCAGAACTCAGGAGGTTGAGGTGGGAGGATCGCCTCGAGTTCAAGGCCAGTCTGGACTACATAGTTCAAGACCAGCCTGAACTACACAGTGAGACCCTGTCGCAATGACCCCCCCCCAAAAAGGTTACTCGTATTAGTTGTGAAATAAGTGTGCCAGTCTATAAACCCCTGACAAACTCTTTTGGGTACCCTGGACCTTTGCCACAACCTTCTTTCCCTGGAGCTCCCTCTGCTGTTATAGGAGAGAATAGCAGTGTGTAAGATTGCCACTCAACGGGGACCCTAAACAGAGACAGAGAAGTAAAGCCCAATTCAGAGTTGTTTTCCACAGAGAAGCTGAGGAAAAATAAGCTGGGTTCAGCAGAGCTGGTACATTGGTGGGGGGTGGAATTAGAGTTTCTTTCTTGCCATCCTGAACATCCTTAATTTAGTTTTTGGTTTTTTTTTGTTTGTACTGGGAATCGAACTCACAACCTTGTGCTTGCCAGGCAGGTGCTGTGCCACTGAGCTATATCCCCAGCCCTCTTAATTTAGTTAATGCCTGCATTATCTTCTTGAGAGTAAGAAAAGGCAGAGGCTGGGGTTGGACGGGATGCAGAGTACTTGCCTAGCATGCATGAGGCTCTGCACTCCGTCCTCAGCACTGAAAAAAATCGGAGAGATTCTCCAAAGAGTACTGATACTTGTTTGGGGGTATCAAAGCATTACAATGGGGATATGCGTATCATAGTAAACTAAGGACATATTCCAAGAGTTTGAGACAAGGAGAAGTGTTTAAAGAGAAACGTGAAGAAGATTACGTGAAATATTTCAAAACAGTAATCCTTGGCCACAAACAGTAATCCTTAATAACAAGAGTGGCCTCAGTACGAGGCATCAGTCCAAGTGGGCACTTGCTGAGCGGATGTCCTTGTAGTAGCACGTTTTACATAAAGTTGTAGTGACCTCCATGCAAGCTGGGGGTGCCGGCAGAGTCCTTTTTGACAGCTGCTGTTAGGCGGTCCTGTAAGAACCTTCCTTCGGGCCCATACTCATCTATGTGCCAGCAATTAAACAGTGAGCTACGCATGAATCTCTGCAGTGCCTACTTCACTTCTTTTTAATGTCCACCCCAATTCTTTTTCACTCCTCTTTCACCCCATCTGGACGGAGCTGGGGTGGGAGGAAGTCTGTCACTGTCTGCTGTGGCCCTTCAAGGCCCAGCATGGCCAGCTGACCTCACCAGATCCCTCTTCCCTCAGGCCCACTCTCTCTGCTATAATGATTGCACCTTCTCACAAAAGAACCCGTCCAGGAGCTTCAGCTACAACTTCTCAGCTTTGGCAAACACGGTCTCTCTGGCTGGAGGGCCAAGCTTCACTTCGAAAGGCCTGAAGTATTTCCATCACTTTACCCTGAGTCTCTGTGGAAACCAGGTAAGGGGTGCAGGCTGGTAGTACGAATTGAAAAGGGGAGGCCAGGGGCTGGGGATTTAGCTCAGCGGCACGGTGCCTGCCTGGCAAGCGCAAGGTGGTGAGTTCGATTTCCGGTACGGGAAAAAAAAAAAAAAAAAAAACCAAAAAACCCAAACAGTGAAAAGGGGAGGCCAGCGGCTCAGAAGCCCAAGGGGGACACAGGAGGAGAACAAGGGATTGAGGTGGCTAAAGGTTTTTTAAGTGATTTTCATCCTTCCTGAGGACTTTGTCTCCTAAAATTGAACCATCTAGATGATCAACGTTTAGGAAAATAAAAATGTTTAAAACAAGGTGTTTCTGAAATGTCCCTCCACACAATGATTACTTGTTGAGCATCTGTAAACGTTTTTTAGATTTTCAGATTAGATTTACTTAACTGATAAAGTGTATGAAAATATTGCAAAACCCCCAAAGCTAGGAAAACAGAAATTACATGCCTGTAATCCCAGCACTCGGGAGCCCGAGGCAGGAGGAGCTCCTTGACTTTGAGGCCAGCCTTGGCTACATAGTGAGTTCAAGGCCAGCCTGCACTACATAGCGAGACCCTGTCAAACAAACAAACAGACGGAAGAGCCAGGTATGGTGGCCTCCGCCTAGGATCCTGGCTGCTCACAAAGCAAGAGGATTGGTTGAACGCAGGAGTTCAGGGTTAGCCTAGCAACACAGTAAGACCTCCATCTAATTAAGAAAAAAAAAATGGGCTTCAGAAGTCACTCTGTCACATATTTTCTAGAGGCTGGATAAAACAGATGGTCCTTAGTTCATCTTCGCATGTCTCTGCTGATAATAGAAAAGAAAATAACATGGAAGACTATGTGAAAAGATTGTCACCATCAGCTATTTCAGGCCCCTGCAAATATTTTGGATCCAAAATCTAAGGGCAGGAATATAGGTGACCCCACCACAAGTGACTAATTACACGCCCCATGATTAGTAGTGGGAGTTTAGAAAGCTCATTTCCAACACATAAAATAGAGAGCAGCCAGGAGAGTGATGGCGAATCTTCTAGAGCTTTCAGTGATACAAACAAGCAGCTGTGGCGCATGTGTCATAGGTTCACCACCACTGATTTAGGACACTGAGTTTGTGTCTCTGCATCACATAGCTGCCACCCTTCTGAGCACACAAAAGCATTGATATGCTTCTGCAGAGAACACGTCAAGGCATAAAGGAACTACAAAAGATTACATATGAGTATCTGCCTTATTTTTAAAAGTCTTTGAAGTGATTAAAGTGAATCCTCAGGAGTAACAAGTCGCTGGGTGTGGTGGTGCACGCCTGTAGTCCCAGCACTCAGGTGGCTGAGGCAGGAAGATCTCTGAGAGTTCAAGGCCCATCTAGGCTACCTAGTGAGTTCAAGTCCAGCCCTGACTGCTTAGTGAGACCCTGCCTTAAGATCCCCTGCTGCAAAAAGAAGTAAAAAGTAGAGGTAACCCAGAAAAGAAGACTGATGAAAATAAACCCCATGTAGTGAAAGTTTCTTTCAGTGAGTAGGGAGAGGGGTGAAGCGGGGGGATTTGGGGCCACTGTGTTTTATTTTCTTTCTTGGCCCCTTTAATCTTTTCAGAAGTACTGTGTGTGGTCATACTACAGATCTTCAGTTCAAACACTTTTATTATACAGTATTACTTCTGTTCTCAAGTTCTTCATCTACAAAAATCTAGAAAAAGTGAATGGATGCCAGATTTAGCTCCATTTGTAATAAAATTTATAACACCAAAAATGTTATGCTTTACATACTTAGTCCACTTAAATTTAAAATATTGAACAAATGATTTTATATTAGCAAACAGGTTATAGATTGATATTCCATAGATTTAACATTCTTGAGGGACAAATATTTCCTGTATCATAGAAGCCTAAGGAAAGAACCTCAGTTCCTACCTTCTTCCAGATTTCTACAGGGTGTGACCGTTAAAAACTGGAGGAGAGGCAAACCTCTTTCTCTCTATGTATATACATTTTCTTTAAAAAAATGGAAAGGCCTCTAGCTGCTCTCAATGTCAGGGAACTGGTCATAGAGTCTATGTTAACCTCTACAAGTCTCTGGAAAGTGCTTCTGAAATAGACATGGCAGAATCACAGCCTAGGGGGGAGATACAAAAGGAATGTGAGTCAGGCCAGATGTTCAAATAAATCTCACTGGCTTCTGCGATCAGTGACACATTTCAGTTTCTATCTAAACAATGAATTAAGATAAAGAAGAACCCTTAACTGGTAGGGCTGCTAGGTTAAAACTGCAACCTTGCAACTTTCCTCTGAGAGGGTCTCCAAGTGACTTTAAGGAGACAAAAAAAAAAAAAAAAAAAAAAAAAAAAAAAAAATGCTGGGGACCTCTGAGCCAGAATTCCAAAAGCTAGGACACGTCTGTCTTATTTTTAGCTTTTTAAAAAATGTAAATGTCTTGCCGCTAGATGTGGGATGAATCCTTCTGTTGTAACACACCACTGGAAGGCCGAACTTTTAGATGTAAAAAAATAAACTAGGGGCTGGGGATTTAGCTCAGCGGCAAAAGCGCCTGCCTGGCAAGCGCAAGGTCGTGAGTTCGGTTCCCGGTACCGGAGAAAAACCAAAAAAAAAAAAAAACAAAAAACAAACAAACAAAAAAACTATTCCCTGTCCTGTTTTGCAAATTGCTCTGTTCCCATTTGCTCCTTCCCACACCTTTTCCCTGCCCCACCCCCGATCAGGGTAAGAAAATGTCCGTGTGTGCGGACAACGTCACCGACCTCCGGATCCCTGAGGGTGAATCGGGTTTCTCCAAATCCATCACGGCCTATGTTTGCCAGTCAGTCATCATCCCCTCCGAGGTGACAGGGTACAAGGCCGGGGTGTCCTCACAGCCTGTCAGCCTTGCTGATCGCCTTGTGGGTGAGTAACCCAAGTGTTCTAGGCTCATTTGAGTGTGCGTGAGTGTGTGTGTGTGTGTGTGTGTGGCAGTGGGACTGCCAGGCCGGAGGGTAAATGGCCTTCATCAGGGATTCCACTGCTCACCTCTATTGTCTCTGCCATGTGTGTCCTCAGGGCCCCAGGCATCTTTGATCCACCTTTGGTTCGCTTTTTCCTGAGCCATTCAGGGACATGATGAGATGCAGTGAGCTTGCGTGTTGACAGGTAGTGAGAGAATTGAAGCAGTTGCGAGCTAATGTTACTACTGAGAACTAATTAGGAGCTCTGACTCTGCAGGGGTGTCAACAGACGTGACTCTGAACGGAATCACCTCCCCGGCTGAACTCTTCCACCCGGAGACCTTGGGGATACCAGACGTGATCTTCTTTTTTAGGTGAAGATGCGATGCCAGCCTCATTCAAGTGAAACCTAGGACTCTTCCACAATTTCTACTGCACTCCTCCCTCTAGCCACATCCCACTGTCAAGCTAGAACATGTCTGAGGTCAAGCGGCTCTGCCCAGTCATGAGTAAAGGCTGGTTGTTCCCTTATCCCAAATGCTTGGGTACTGCTGGGGCAGGTCTGCCCTGGAGGCAGGGAGAAGCATTAGAAATCTGCGCAGACTTCTCTCGCATCCAAGAGTCTACCAGCCTTGCCTCTCCTCGGCCAGTGTACTTCCTCCTTGACTAGATCTCCCCGCCCCTCTTCCCATAAGCCTAAAGCCTGTGTGTCAGGGTAGGGTCCAAGTCCTGACTTGCCCAGAGAGGGAATCATTCCATGTTGAATTTACTTAGTGCTTTCCCACTAACCCACTAGGGTGGTATTTCCTCCCATGGAACCGGCTTTCTCTTCAGGTCCAGTGATGTAACCCAGTCCTGCAGTTCTGGAAGATCAACCACCATCCGCCTCAGATGCAATCCACTGAAAACTGCTCCTGGAAGCCTGTCATTACCAAGGTAATCCTTACAAAGGAATGTGGCTAAGGCCACATTCTCCCTTTGTTGGTCCCCTTCCATCCCAAGAGCCAGTTACTGAAGAAGAGCAAGACAGAAAAATAGTTTGAGATTCATTAATAGGTTCTTGGGAGTAAAGTCCCAGCCCCAAATCCCTGATCTTCACATAGGAAGAATGGGACCGGAGGAAGAGGCAAAGCTTTCCTCATATTCCCCAGACCATTATGGTGGCAGTGGCATAGGATGGCGGCTGACATGGCCATTCTCTAATGGCCACATGTGCTCCGCAGCTCCATTTACTAGCTATTTATCACGATACATTCCTTATCTTCTCTAGGGCGGTTTTTTTCTTACCTGTAAAATGGGCATAATAGTGAGTTCCCTCAGAGAGTTGTTTTGGGAGGTGAATGAAACAGTGAGACTTCAGGAGTTTTCTTGGAGGCTGGGCCATTTTCCAGATTAGTAACTGTTTAGGGACCGCAGGTATCTCTTAGGTTAGACCCAATTCTGAGTTTAACGACTCAGCGCACTAGATCAAGAACTTTCAAATACATAGACCACGAATAACACTCCCTCTTTTTATGCCTGTATAATGCCAACGAACACCTTGCAGGACACTGGTAGCTTGAGGAACATAGTCTGGGAAATGCTACTCAGAAACCACTGATCCAGGGAGCTGAGGGACAAAAATGAACATTTTGATCCAGCAGTGGAGTCAGAGCATAAAGTCACTTCTTGTCACTGTAAACATCACACTTAAAGCAGACATCCTTCCTGAACTCCACCTCAGCTCCAATCCCACCCCGAGGAAGGTGTGTCGAAGTGCTTGTTGCAAAATGTCACATGTCCACAGGGCGGACAGGAGCCTCTGAGGGGCTGCAAGTGGGGTGGGGGGAGCCATGCTAAAACTTCAACATCCACATTGGCTGTCACCTCATGTCAGTATAAACATAAGCAGGAAGAGAATCGGGGAAATTGAAGATCTAAGACTGAGTTAAGAACTATTTGGGAAATCCCAGTGGAACATTTTGGGCAGAAAGAAGATGAATCAGGCAAGCAGTAAAAGCAGCAAGCCTCAGTACGATCTTCTCCGCTGCCAGGCGAGTGAGCTCTCCTTTCTGCTTTGCCAGCATGTGCTCTGATGGGACCTGCGACGGCTGTAACTTCCACTTCCTGTGGGAGAGCGTGGCCGCTTGTCCACTTTGCTCGGCTGCTGACTACCACACTTTCGTCAGTAGCTGTGTGGCTGGGATCCAGGTAGGTTGCCCTCTGACTGGGGACTTCCCGGGAGAGAAAAGGATGTGAGCTCTGAGTTCCTTGTTTTTCTTCCCAACAGAAGACCACTTACGTATGGCGAGAACCAAAGATATGCTCTGGTGGCATCTCCCTACCTGAGCAGAGAGTCACCATCTGCAAAATGATAGATTTCTGGCTGAAAGTGGGCATCTCTGCAGGCACCTGTAGCGCCATCCTACTCACGGTCCTCACCTGCTACTTTTGGAAGAAGAATCAAAAGTACGTGGGGAAGGGTGTTGGTGTTTGAGCATGTCTGGGGTTGGATCACTGAGCAGGGAGAACATCTGAGAGGAAAAGTGAGTGGGGCTTTTCTTGGAGTTGGCCACAGATCCTGGGACTGTGGCCAGAGACTTGCTGGACCACTGATCCAGTGTATGCCTTGGTTATCCTCACTCCTGAGCAGGGATGGTACCGTGTAGCCATCTACAAATGACTGTTAGATTGTGAAAAGAAAGGAAAAGAAAGCAAAGCAAATTCTTCAGCTAGAAGTGTAGTTCTGTGGTAGAGCTCCTACCTAGCTAGCATGCAAGAAGCCCACTAGAGAGACAGAGTCAGAGAGAGAGAGATAGAGACACAGACAGAGACACAGAGACAGAGAGAGACAGAGAGAGGGAAAGGGAGAAACAGAGAAAGGGAGTGAGACAGAGACCAGTAGTCCCAGCACTTGGGAGGCTGAGGGGGAAGGATGAGCGTTCCAGGCTAGTGTAACCATACATGGCTGTCTTAGGCTGTGGCTCAGTGGTAGAGCCCCCGCCTAGTCTGCACAGGGGCCAGGGTTCTGTCCCTTCAGAAGGAAGAGAAAAGTAGGAGGAAGAAGAGGAAGAGGAACAAGAGTTTGTTAGCTAGGTATGGTGATGCGTGCCTGTGATCCCAGCTACTCGGGAGGGTGAGGCAGGAGGATTGCAAGTTCAGGGCCAGTGAGGGCAACACAGAAAGACAGTGAAATTTAAAATGGGGCTTGGGATGCAGTTTAGTGGTAGAGCTCTTGCCCAGCATGTGTGAAGTCCTGATTCAATCCCCCACACTGTAAAAAAACCAAAATAACAAAAATGCAAATAATGGCTTTATGATTTCAATATATTAAGTTACAAAATCACAAAAACAACCAGCCTTAAAGAAAAGACATCACTGAGCTGGCAGCGAAGACCCTTTTCTTCGTGCCCAGCCCTAATACCATTTTGTTATGTTCCAGTTTCCTTATCCACGACATGGGAGAATCTGTTTGTAGCCCAGCCTCCGGCTTTCCTCCTTATTCCCACATTCTGGGTCTTCTCTTTCCATCCTCGTTTCACAGACTTGAGTACAAGTACTCCAAGTTAGTGATGAACGCGACCCTTAAGGACTGCGACCTCCCAGCAGCTGATAGTTGTGCCATCATGGAGGGTGAAGATGTGGAAGATGATCTCATCTTTACCAGCAAGAAGTCTCTCTTTGGAAAGATCAAATCATTTACCTCCAAGGTAGGAGGCCAGGACACTGAGGTCAGACTGGAGGGGCCAAGAGATACAACTCCTAGGGCACTGAAGGGCCTTGCGCTGTACAGGCACCCCTACTCTGCTCCCAGCTCCCTACACTCTTCCTACTATCCCCCACCTGAAAAGTCCGCCTTTTACTTTCCCCGTGTCACAATATTCTTGTCCCTGGGGCCCAAGGCTGCTTGTGACTCGGCTCCTCTCTCCCAGCGTGCACTCCAGTTGGTGGACTGTTTGGGCCTTTTAATTTCCAGAAGGAGTACTGACTCATCATCCATGTTGTAATAATCATCCCTGCCCCTTTTGTTTTCCTTGGATGCGGGGGCGGTCATCTCTAGGATTGACCTCTGATAGAAGTGCGGCTGTCTTTTGACCAGTGGAGGGTGCCGTCCCCCAGGTGTCTCGGCCAGGTCCTGTGGGAGCTGAATCATAGCCCAGTCTACGGGCAATTCTGAGCAGGAGGGTTGGCTGCGTGGGTGATGAGTGAGTGTGAAGCGTACAAACGCAATTCAGACACCACTGTCACTGGGCGTGGGGCCAGGGGAAAGCATCCAAACAACTCCTCAGGGCTGCTGCAGCCTCGCCTTGCCTGGCCCCGTACCTGTTATTGCCGGGAACCAGTTGGTCCAAACAGCTGTGGGTGGGGTGTGGTGCAAGGGAAGCGAAGACGTGCGACATGGTGGAGAAGGATGGCAGTTAGGTGTCTAGATTACTGAGCCTTGCTCCTTTGTGCTGGCCTGCCAGGGTGACTCCTTGGCACCTCTTTTTGTTTTTTTTTTTTTTTTTTTTGGTTTTTCTCCGGTACCGGGAACCGAACTCACGACCTTGCGCATGCCAGGCAGGCACCTTTGCCGCTGAGCTAAATCCCCAGCCCTCCTTGGCACCTCTTTAGACCTTGTTTTGTTTTGTTTTGAACCAATGGGAGAACAGCTCACCTATGGACTTCTAGAGCCTATCTATTTCTAGAATTTAGCAAAGATGCTGAGCAGGGAATCTTCCAGATTTTTCTTATTTTCTGACTGAGCCTGAAGGAAATAGGAAGTGTCTCGCTTCTGTGTTCCCACAAAGCCACTGGAAGCAGCAGTTCCACAGGGTTCCTTGTGTCACCTGTTTTTCCTTTCTCTTCTTTGTCCTGCAAACATGCCCCTCCACCCCGTGCAGCAGCCAGCTCCTGTCACCATCTCTCTTTCAGAGGACTCCTGATGGATTTGACTCAGTGCCACTGAAGACGTCCTCAGGAGGCCCAGACATGGACCTGTGAGAGGCACCGCCTGCCTCACCTGCCTCCTCACCTTGGCGTAGCACTTTGCAAGCCTGTGACGATCTGGGTGCCAGCGTCCTGCAATACCCACTGCTGGAAATCTCTTCATTGTGGCCTTATCAGAAGAAGTTTGAATTTCAGATCTTTGTTTTTTATAGAGTACCCAAACTTCCCTTTCTGCTTGCCTCAAACCTGCCAAATATACCCACACTTTGTATATTATTCCCTTGCTTGCATCTTGTTTCCTTAGACGGTCCAGCCAGCAGAGCCATAGCCCCCTCTGCCGTAATTCTTCTAGCTCTGGAGTGAAAATATTTCTCTCTTTAGGATAAAACTAAGTCACTGGAGGACAGGAACAGCTGGGAGTTTTCCTGGTCATATACCGTCAGCTCATGATCTCTTTACAGGAAAGACTGGGTGAGTGGGAGGTCGGGATTCTTAGAAGGTGATCCTCGAGGATTCAGCTGAATTCACTTGTCCAGGGTAGACAGCTCAAACAGAGGGCAAGCTGAGCAAAGCCTGGGACAGAAGAGAAGCACAAACAGGAGAGAAAGAACGGGTTCTTTTGTTTTATAACCAGGTACCTCATTTCATTCTGTTAAGTAAGTAATATATTCTCACTAAAGCCAAAGGAAAATGTTATCAAGAAAATGCCAAAGCCCTGGTGGATCTATTCTCTCAGTTATTTATTTACTTATTTTTATCTCTCTATGACACTAAAAACACAGGAGGCCGAGCTTTCAATGGGGCTCCAGCCCACAGTGGCACAGACCTGAGGCAGTCATGCTGTCTGCTCCTGAGCTCAACTTACCTGCTGAGCCACAGAATTAAAAACTTCTAGGCTGGCCAGAAAGGAAACTGAACCCCTAGCCCATACCCCAGCAGCAAAACCAGACCTGTCTTCAGGAGGCAAGAGTAGGGGAGTTTAATGACGTATTCACTAAACTGGGGTGCTTCTCACTGCTAAGCTCCTATCCCGGTGTTTTATGCATTCGCATCTGCTTCGTGCACTAAAATACTACAAAGAGTTCTGGCCCCCATTTCTGGCAACAGTCCCTTTGAAAAGTGAATAGAATGCGTATCCTCTCTGCCCCTTTCTCCCTTTCATTCTAACTATAGTCTGTAAACTTGAAGTATCTAGAATGGTAAAACCACAGCAAGACTTTCAGTTACTTTTTTCTTTCTACTACTGGCAAGTCTCCCTCCTTTATCAGGCTAGACTAACCTGTCCCAGTTGCCCATGGTTTGTACCTGTGCCCTTGTTCTATTGACCAATTGGTGACCAGATGGTCAGAATAGAATAGAGAGGCATTTCTGAACAGTTCGTCTGCCAACAAAGTGGTTTTCTCATCTGATTAGCTATCATTGCCTTGACTTCAGCCTTATAAAAGTCAGTGAGAAGAGGAGCCCCATTATAACTTCTAGCCATCAACATCACTGTGGTAGGAAGTCCCTTTGGCTCAGTAAATCTAGATGCTGGTCTTGAACTCACTATGTAGTCCAGGCTAACCCTGAACTCTTAGCAATCCTCCCTCAACCTCCCTAGTGCTGGGGTTAATGGCATGCACCATCATGTCTGTCTGGATGGTTTTCTTGGATAAACAGCCCTCCCCGCTTTTGTGGTAATCAGATTCCCAGAACCAGTGGCCATGCTGGAATTTCTCCTGGTGGACGCACATATGTACACCTGCAGCCCCGATCTCCAGCCTTCTGCAGCATCAGCAACACCTGGGTATCTGCTTCCTACTAAGTAGCTCCCTTTTCTGACAAAGGCCACACAAGGGCCTTAGACTATTCCAGAAAAACTTTATCCCTCTGACTTCTTTATTCTGCTATCTTGAATCTGAATGTCCCCAGAACAACCTGAAACTTCACTGATTTTTTTTTCACTGATTTAGTTATAGTGCTCTAAGGATCTCCTTTTTATGGGGCTGATTTCTGAAGGAAAGGGGTCATCCTTTGCTCTCCAAAAAATTACATGCTTTAGATTTTTAAGAGCTTTATTGAGCTATAATTCATACCATACAATTTGTCCCCCTTAAAATATACAATTCAATGGATTTAGTATACATTTTTTTGTTGTGGTTGTTGTTATCATGCTACACTTGCTAGGCAAGTGCTCTACCACTGAGCTACACCCCTAGCCCTGTACATCCATTTTAGAAGAGACACATGTTAGATCTGCTGTGGGAAAAAGGCTTTATCCCTTGACCCAGGACCACCATGGTTTGTACAAGTTATTGAGGAAGACCATGTAGGCTCAGGAGATAAAATGCTTAAATCTCATTTGGTTACCTAGAGTCCTGGGACACATAAGTAACTTTCATCCCGTAGTTGACACCTATATTCACCTGGGAATACAAATACGATTGTGGTGTATCTAAGGACCAGAGGATTTCTTATGCCCACAAAACATTTGGGGGGGGGTGGTCTAACTCTATATTAAAGATAAGATGGACTATATTTATACAACAGAGACTTTGTATCAGATTTTTCAGCTTTGTGAAATCAATTTTTTTCTCATCAGGACTGGTTGGATTTCCTTTTTATTCTGTATTCCAAACATGTATAGTTTATTAGGGGATGGGTTATTGGCATGTCACATTTGGGGGGGGGAATATGCAATAAAAATGTACCTTTTGAGTTGTTTTTCTTGAACGTAGTGGGATGGCTGGATGGGTGGGTAAGGATGGTAAGTGTCCTTGAAGCCTGAGAAGAAGAGAAGGAGGCAGAAAAAAGCCACAGACTTCAGAGAATACAGACCCAGGCTTGAACTCTCTGCTACCTGTTGACTGAGAAATCAATGAGAGAGCAAAAGCCTCAGTTTCCACAATAATAAAATGCATCTCAATAATAAAATGAGATTGGGCTAGGAGCAAACGAGGTAACACACAAAGCACTTAGCATGCTCGTTCCCTTCCCTCTCAGTGCACGCTTTCCTTGTGGCATGAAGCCAGTCGCACACTAACATATCCATGAATACAAGTACAATTGGCTTCTTGGGGGCAGGAAATAGATTATTATAGACTAGATGTAGAGAAAATCCTAGAGATGTACAGGATCTGCCACTTCCCAAGGTGGCTAGATTATCCTGCTCCAATATTTTCCTTCAAATTGAGGGCACTAGTCTTCCAAAAATAATTCTCTCGGCTGGTGTGTCTATGAAGGCCAGACTACTAAGGCAGAATAGCACCAAGCATCGAGTTGTCTATGTGAGGGTACTTTTTAGCCTCCAGACCTCTCTTCCTCCTGCCCCTCCCACCTCGGTAGCCAACCCTTTCTTCTGCAGCCAGAGTCCTTTTCCTAACACAAATCTGATGGCATTCAAAATGTGCAAAGGTCTCTGATGGTTTGTTATCGCTGGCAGGCAGGACTAGTCATCAGCAAGGTACATACTCATCTGTATCCCAAAGTGTTGTTTATGACACACATCTACTTTAACTGAATGATACCTGGGTTGCACTAGCTATTTCGTATTCTGAATATCACCCTTGCTTATAGGATGAAGCCTAAACTCTAAAAAGGAAAGTAGAAAAGAAAAACAAAAAATAAAAGACATTTTTTATTTGCTGTGTGCCAAGTCTGGACTGAGTACCTTCATGGCATTGCCTTACTTAGTTTTCAAAACAGCCTGTGCAGGCGCTGTCCCCATTCTATGAAAAAGAAATTCCAGTAATGTGACATGCAGGGTGTCTTAACGGCCCATCCTGTCTGCCCCAGCCCGCACTGCTTAGACTGCAACCGCACCGCCTGCCTAAGCACACACTCCCTGCCCCTCTCCTCCCTTCCTCTTCTCTGCCAGACCCCACCCAGCCCTCCCTAGCTCATCCACAGGGAGTGCAATAGCGAAATACTTAATCACATAGGAATTCTGTTGTTAATTTTCATAAATACAACTACATATTGTACAGTACCCCAATACAATAAGCCATGGGCACAATCATGCTTAAAATCAGTTGGGTGAGGTGGAAATGTGTAATTTTAAAGATTACTCAGTGGTTTTGAAGGGAGGGGGCAGGCAGTTGGATGTAGCAGTAACTGCCTATCTGCAATCCCAGCCCTCTGGGAGGCTGAGGCAGAAAAACCATAAATGTAAGTCCAGCCCAGGGAACTTAGTGATTTAGCAAGACCCTGCCTCAAGATTAAAAATACAAAAACAACCGGAGATGTAGCTCCATGCTGAAGCCCAGAGTTCAACCCCAGCAAGGGAAGGGGTGGCTGGGAAAAAAAGACAAAGTGTAATAATTTGATCTAGAACCAGGGATATAACCTCAGTGGTAGAGTATTTACAAGGTAGAGCACCTACAAATCCCGGTATTGATCCTCAATACTGGAAGAAAAAAAAAGACCATAATTTGGTCTAAAATCTTAAGAAGAAATTTAATTAACTAAACAATGACTACTGAAAAGATAGAGAAACTGATTTGGATGGCAGTCTAAAACACTGAACTGAGGGCTTCTCACTAAGCTACATCTCCTTTTTTATTTTTTATTTTGAGATAGGGTCTTGCTAAGTCACCAAGTTGAGAGGCTGGGATCAAACTTGTGATATTTCTGCCTCATCCTCCCAGAGTGGTGTAATTACAGACACACACCTTCATGCTTGGCTCATAATACAAAATTTAATGGATAATTTAAGAACTATTTGGCTGGGGATATAGCTCAGCGGCACAAGCACCTGCTTGGCAAGCGCAAGGTCCTGAGTTTGATTCCCAGTATAAAAAAAAAAAAGAACTATTTAATAATTGGAAAGTAAACTAATCTCCTCTCACTGACAAAGTTAACAGTCCCATATAAATTGCAACTCCCTATATCAGTGGTGGTGAACCTGTGGCACATGGGCTGCAGTGGGCTGTTTATTAGCATTGAAAGCTCTAAAAGATTTCCCATCACTGCCCTACATGATACAGTATGGAGGGAGAATGGACATCTCACTCCAGTTCTATCAGAAGGAGAGGCTGGGTCAGGCCGTTGGCCACCATTCCCTATTGCCTGGTAGCTTTCTTTGACCCATAATGTTATCTTTAAATTCCTTCTCAGATGTCCAGGGATGCAGCTTCTCTTTTCTATTTTTAAATTTGAGGCAAGGTCCTAAGTCCTTTAATTATCCGGACTGACCTAGAACTTGTAATCCTCCTGCCTCAGCCTCCAGAGTGCTGGGGTTATAAGTGTGTGCCACCATGCCTGAATGGAAATGTAGTTTTTAGCCTCCCAAAGTCTATGGGACAGGAAAGGACACAAGAACAGTAGATGTTAAGCAAACTAATTTATATTATCTACTCTACAAGAGTGGTAGTTTCAAAGTGAAGTTTTCTTTTTTCCCCTTAGGAGTAATATAAAGAAGAAGAACTAGAACTGGGGAAGATTTAGCACACAAAAAGAAGTGAGTGATAGAATAAAATATAAAAAGGAAAGAAGAAGTTCAGTCAATGAACAGCTGGAAGGTTAATCTTATAAAGGAGAGGGGAACTTGTGCCTCCAAAATAACAAAGGAATCACAGAAGTGTTGAGGTGAAACAAAGAGGAGTTCGGTTGGCTGACCCCAACATCTCCAGTGAAGTAGGAAGCAAAGTCATCTGCTTCCAGTGAGCAGTGAGTTTCTGAAGTTTTCATTGAAATGGGAAGATGACAAATGAACTGAGAGTTTGTGACATATGAGTGAAAGGAAAGAGCCCCTGGAACTCAGACAGTATAGGATATTTCTATTTTTGTGGATGGAAGTATTTAATAAACAGTAATTTGTAAATTTTTTTCAGTCTCCCATCTCAGCTGATAAAGTTGAATGGATGTCTACACCCAAGATGGCTGCATCCATCCCTACTGGATTCCTCTCAGTGCCTTTTTCCTGTTCCAGGTGCAGGAGCATCAGACTAGGAAATAAAACTTCCATCTAAGCTCTACAGCTCTTAATTGTTAAACTTCAGTCATGAAGGTATTCATTTAGAATACCTTTTGAAGGTATTCTAAAGCCTAAATACTTTCCTGCGGCCAATTACACTTAAATTGATAGGACATAGGTAAATAATTTCCATTAAATCTCAACAGAGATAGAAATTTGAAAGTATGTTTTTTTATTTTATTTTTTATTTTTTGGTTTTTCTCCCGTACCGGGAACTGAACTCACGACCTTGCGCTTGCCAGGCAGGCGCTTTTTGCCACTGAGCTAAATCCCCAGCCCCGAAAGTATGTTTTTTTAAATTCAACGATCCAACATGCATTTCTTGGCTGCATACAGTCCTAGGCAATAGAAGGGCTATAAATACATCTAACACAGCATCCTGCTTTTAGGAAAACTGGCTCATTCTGTGGATAAAAATAAAATGGAATCTCTGTCTGATATTACTTACCAGGGTAAACACAAGATGGAGTGAAGACCTAACAGAAGGTCTAGAAACTTAGTAGAAGAAATAGGAAAAAAAATCTTTGTGACCTCAAAGTGGGACGGAGTATTAAGTAAAACCCGAAAACACAAAGTAAAATGACATTAATAATATCAGTAATTTGATTATATCCAATTAAAAGAAGCAAACACTAAAGTTAACAGATGACAGCTTGCATAAAAAGCATGTGCTGGGGCTGGGGATTTAGCTCAGCGGCAAAAGCGCCTGCCTGGCAAGTGCAAGGTCGTGAGTTCGGTTCCCGGTACCGGAGAAAAACCCAAAAAAAAGGAAAAAAAAAAAAAAAAGCATGTGCTAAAACCAATTAAAGATTAATAGAATATAACAGGAATCCTTGCATATAACTGTAACAAAAAAGGAAGGATACCAAAAGGAAAAATAAACAGGTGAAGGATAAGGATGAACAACTCACCAAAAAGGAAATCCCAACGAGTGGTTGAAAAGCTGTGCAAACTCAACAGTAGTTAGACAAATGCAAATTGAAACAACCACGAACAGTTACGTCACACTCATTATTCTGCCAAAGGTTGGGAAGCTGGATGATGCAGGCTGTTGGAGAGAGTTTGGGAATGGAAGAGGTAGAGGCTCCTATCCTGAACTCTTAGCAGGACCGGAACAGCCCTTCTGGAGAGCAGCCTTGCAAAGCTCAGTCAAATACAACAGCCATTGCGACTCCTACAGATATGCCACGAACAGCAACAACACAAGAATGTCACACGGCTCTGTGGAGGGAGGCGAGAGAGCAATGAGAGGAGGAGAGGTGTGCTTGTCACACGGCTTCACCTCCACACACAGCTTTCCGCTTGTGTCTAAGCCAAACTGAGCCAAGGGGTCAAACTAGACAACCACTTTCCTAAGCCTCCCTCAGGGTCTCACCTTATTAGTGTCATCACTACTCTTGACCCTGTTTGAGATCTCAGAATTGGCTTGGCAGAAGCCTGTTGGGGAATAAGAATAGTGGAAGAGAAAACAAAACAAAACCAGAACCCCCAACTTTTTCTCATTCTACTCACACACTCAACGTCAAGTACTTCTGTGACCAGATGTCACAGCCAAACGATTCTCCATAGACATCACCTGGGGGTCCTATAACTCAGTTTAATTTTAGCATTACGTACCTGGAGACAGTGTCAGATCACACAGGTTCAGGGCTCAGTTCTACTAGACTGCCCTTCGCTCACTTCAGATGCCAGGTGCAAGGAGTATGTTGATCACCTACACTTCTGACTGACCAGCTATATACTG